GTGAGGCAAAACAGGGATTGTAGTGAGTGAAGTCAGAGATTAAGTGGCAACTAATCAAATCACTAATAGAAACTATGATTAAAGTAGTATAAAACAAAAAATCATTGTAATTATTGGAATCTTCGTGGGTTTCAATCTCCAAATTGCGTTTTAGGGGCGAACCTAATTTTACCAACTATTTTTTCAATCTTACTTAACTAAGGAACCACATCACTCACTCCAGTAAGGAACACGAAAACAAGGACCGCAATTTTTCCCACTCTTTCTTTTTCCTTTTTTTTTTTTTTTCCTGGTGTATGCTTAACTAAAAAAGATGAGGAAATGCAAAGACGACTTTACCTTACCTTAGCAAGTTGGAATATCTTTTTTTATCTTTGTCACAAAGTGATGGAGTCCACTAACCAACTTTTGTTGGTAAAATTCAATATGCATTTTCTCCACCAATCAGATTTTCTATTTTCATTTGTTAAGATCAATGCTGAAATTCATTAACTAATGATGAAAATTTCCTGAATTTGAATCATAGAATGATGAGATATATGGTGTTGATTTTTTTTTTCTCCGTTCTAAAATAATTATTTTTTTTATTAAACTAAAATCATACAACGAATACGACTATTAATTATTAGAGAGGAAAAGAGGTTTTTGTTTGTGTTATTTTTCTTCAGAAAGAGGACATCACGAAACAGCATTTTGAATTCCCGAAATCTGGCACCAATTGTTTAAAGCCTTATCATGCGTATCATATCAGGATGGATCAACTAATAAACTAATAGATCTTCAAATCGAAGCAGCTAATACGTTTGACTTCCAATAATTTAATTATTCAAACCCACTTTGGCAGATTGCCACAAAAATGTATGAATTGAATACCTACAAAATAAATTATTTGCTTCCCACACGACATCCCTAGCTTCTTTTTTTTTCTTTTTTGAAACCACTGCCTAGCTCTTCGGTGTATATATTATAAAAAAAAAAAATTGGAAGGAAAAACAAAGAAAAAAAAAAGAAAGATGGAAAGAATTACAAACGTGCGTAGTTGTGCTATGAATCACGTAGAAAGTTTGTATTGGTTCTTGTGGTTTAAAAATTTACTAATACTAGATTATAGTCTAATTAAGTACATTTGGGCTAAAAGATGATATAGTAGTATCCAGAGTTTATCTAAACTGCACCCCCGCCTTGGTGCATGTCATCATGAAACTCTCTGACACGGAATGATCAATTAATGGTTTATTATTATTTATTTTTCCATCCCTTTTTGAAATGTGGGAAGTGGAGAGCTTCATCATAGTATTACGAAAAGGGATTAGATTGGGATTGTAGTAGTACCAAATTAAACCTTCGATTTTGGTAAAGAGTAAAGACAAATTAATAAGGAAAACGTATTCATAAAATTTTGGTTAGGTTTTGCATTTGGTATTGTTCCAACTCGCAATCATGCATGGGTGTGGGGATCTGTAAAAAGTAAGTGGAGAAGTGCATGCAAATATCCAAAGATTCCCAAACAAACCCTTTTATAACTTTATTTCCTTTTATATTTCTTTAATTAAAGGGCTTCAATAAAAAGGGAATATAATTGAATAATAGAAACATATGGAACCTCTTCTTCAATGATCTTTTGGTTTGGAGGATTTCTCTTTCTCCTCCCGTTAAGTAAACCAATCTCTAAATATTCCTTTTTGATTGCTGCAGCTGAAAGCTTCTTTTGTTTCGTTTTATATCTTCTTATCTTTATAATTTATTTTTCTTTAAATGACAATTATATATAAAGTGTCACGCAATTGCAGATTATTGGATTGATTGGTTGCCTTTTGAAGAGTTTTCATGACACTTTCTAGTTATCTTTCACACATTTATTTATAGATTTGTTCAACTAAGTAATTGATAAATGTTACTACTGAACAAACCAACCTCAAACATTTACAGAATTAATTATAATTAATTTATTTCTTCAAAAAATGTATAAAAAAATTTAAGGTATTTTTTTTTCAAAAAAAAATTGCGGATCACAAGTGCTGGCGGATTAGGGTGGGGCCACGGGGCCATGGGCCCCACTGATCCCACCATAAACCTTTATATATTATGAGTATTCTTCTTTGCATAACTCACAAAAAGAAAAAAAAAAACTTTTAAGCAATTTCTTTAGTTTCAGTTTTAACTAATTACTAGATGTTTGGCCCGGGCAGATCCGGGCGTCCCTCTACTTTAATTTTGTATTAATAGATAAATAGATCTTGATTTGAAAAAAATAAAATAACTACACATTTGATTTTTTTCCCCTTTTTAGTCAAAAATAAAAATAAAAATAAAAATAAAAAATCATCTGCCAAAGGAGAAAAAATATTGAAAAGTACAACTATGTAGAAATCATACAAAAGAATGTGAAATAATAAAAGGGATAAGTTTATGGGCAAATTTAAATATTATTTTAATTTGATTAATAAATGATAAATGTTAGGAGTTAAAATTGTGTAGCTATTTTTGTAAAGTAGTTTTTGTTTCTCCGGATAAGTTTTTTTTTTTAAAAAAAAGGGATGACACGTGACAGAATGGTTAATGCAATATGGTGCATTTGGAGCAAAAAAATTTTAATAAAAAATTACAACATCAACATTCTGTATTTTGCTTTAATAAGGTAAAAGGGATATGTTGCGCATTTTGGGCTTATTAAAAAAAGCCCAAATTCCATGTAGAATTGCATTGACATACAGTACATGCTGGTACCGAAAATGGTTATTCTGCATTTTTGAGTTTTTTCTTTTCATTTACGCGTGGAAAGAGTTTCTAAGGTTACATCATTGATAAAAAAAAAAGTGAATAATCAGATATTAGGTTCTTTGATGAATAATACTTTTATCAATATATTATATCAATATATGATAAAAAAAATTATTCATATGTATGTGATATTTTTATAAATTGATAAATAACTTATCCTCAAATGCAATCAAATTATAAAAATCGGTTATGACCCAAGTATTTTTCTCTGTATTTTGTACTATAGTTCGATATATTTCATTTTTTCCTATATGTTTTGTTTTTAAAGCATAAATTCGGTTATATGTATCAATCATCTAAACACAAAATTAAACTACTACCTCCGTCCCATAAAAATAGTACACATCGAGTTTCCAAATTTATACAAAAAATAATACAAAACTCAATGTGAACTATTTTTGTGGGACGAAGAAAATATATCATAATATGTTACGGTCCTCATTGTATTTTAATTCTAAATCCGCTACTCATCACAAGGTCGACTGACCAACTTTGCACCCCTCACAGAGGTTGAGACTTGAGACTCGATTCACATTTCATAGATAGCAGCGCAGAAATCATGTAATATGTCATAGTCACGTCGATTATAGTCACGAGTGTCTAAAAAATTTTCACCATAAATATGAATGATCTAACTTGTAAATTGTAATAGCAGTGAACCAAGCTTTATGCAAAAAATACACAGCTAGGCGAGCTAGCACTAATTCAAATTCTTGCATGCTTGTTACAGCTATCCTCATTAAAACATTTGGAATACATAGCCGTTGTTTATTAATTAATCCCGACAAAGCAATTAATAATCAGCTACAATTTTGGATAAATGAAGTTAGTTTATTATTGTTCAAATTATTATTATTAATAAAATGCTCCCATGTTCATATGTGGCTAACACTAATACTAATACTGGACGCCCCGAATGCCAAGTTATCATAAGTGAAAAAAAATTTACATTCAATTTAATTTTTAAAAAACCATTATATTGATAATGTTGTAAAAAAAATACTTACTAGTTTACTAATCCGGTCCTCAATCAAGACCAAATTCGCATTGACCTCTCAGTAGACGTTCATGTTACTTGTAAAGTTTTATTTAACTACTACTATTAAGTATCAACTATAATCTCTAATTATGCGAAGTTTTAATTTTTGCAAAATGACCCAGATGTCTTAGTAAAAAATTAGCACGCATTCAAAAATATTCTTTCTATCTCAAAATTATTATTCAGTTCAAATTTTATTTTTAGTTCAAATTTTGTTCCTTCGACCTTGTGGCCAGAGCGACAACCTATAATTACTTCATCTATCTCGAAATAATTATTTAGTGTGGATTTTCATAAAATTTGGATAATCATAAAAATCCAAACTGAACAATTATTTTATAACCAACGAAATACATTTGTAAATTATATTATAGGTTGCTAAGGCCAAGAACAAACTCTATCAGCCGAAGACCATGGACCTACTGTCTAGGGATTGGGCGTAGAATCTTTGTGCATTTGATCAATAAGGTGGTCAATTTACGTTTCTAATATTTGTAGTTGTAGTCCAGTTTTTCAAATAAAGGTCAAATCATCAACTACAATATATTACTACTAGCTATGAATTAAATATATTTATTTGAAAAACTTGATTTCAAATGTTGGGATTCCTTCAATCGAGGTTCCATTGCCACAGTCATTTGACTCCGTACTGAGTCATGCCTAGCAAAGCCAATATCTGAGCCATAAATCAAAATTCCATAATTTTCAAAGAAATTTTATTTATCACGTCGCTATTAAGGCTTTGTTTGTTTCTTTTGTTTTATGATTTTTTTTTTCAAAATTATTAATTAATAACTGTCTCATTCCAAAATACCTTTTTACATTTTCAATACAAAAAAATACCTAAAAACACACACTGAAAAACGAAACAAGTTTTGTTCATATATTTATTCATATTTTGTTCCAATACAAAAAACACTTAAAAACATACACTGAATCCCCGGTAATTAATTCTCCCACCAAATCATAACCTCTATACCTATAAAGTTTTTCTGAAAAATTTTAAATAAATTTTGTTCATATATTTTGATGAATAAATGTCACATAAAGTTTTGTTCTTACATAAGAAATAGGCCGAAAGTTGTTAATTGTAGAAGAGTAGTACTAATTTGGCTTAAAGTAATAAGGAATAATAAAAAGACTCACAAGCAAAGAAGGGAAAGGCCAAATTGGTATCACAAAAAGGTGGGGCCTAAAGTCTTGAAAAAGAGGGACCCAAAATCACTTTCAGACCATCCAAAAATTGTGTGTGTTTAAAAGCAGCTGCTGCAAATCCAAGCATAGCACACATCCACAACCAATTTTTTTCCCCCAACTCCCCAAAATTCAAGCAACATTTTCATATCACACTGACCAAAGTGACAAACAAACAATAATCCTACTCCTTGCACTAGTGTTTTAGTGGGTGAAATGAAAATAGGTCTAAAACAAGGGAGGAAAAACAGCTGGGTTTTTGGTCTCCTTTCTTGACTCACTTGTTTGTGTTTTTGTGTTTTATCTTTTCTCTCTTTAGCCTCCAAAATAAAAGCAAAGAGTATAGAATAAAGTGCAAGGTGGGAAAAGGGCTGGCTGGCTACTAGGCAAAAGCCTAAAGGGGTAGTGCTTTGCTTCAGGGATTGTAAAGTTGCTAACTTGAGCCAAACAAAAAAAAAAAAAATACCACCAGGGTTGTCAAGGGTTTAAGCCATTCTTAGCCCAATTTAGGAGGAGGGGTTTAATGCTTTGATGAAATGATGGGTTTTTCTTGTTCCAAGATTGTAATGTGTAAAGCTTTGGCTTTTCTTGTTTTGGTGTTTTTGGGTTCCTATGCTTGGCCTGCAACAGCTGGCTCTGTTTCATATGACAATAGAGCTATTGTTGTTAATGGCCAGAGAAGGATCCTTATTTCTGGATCCATTCACTATCCCAGAAGCACTCCTGAGGTATATTTACCATTATTTCATCTTCAAAATGTACTTAACTGGTTATAGCTTAATTCCCCTGTTTACAGCATGTCTAACTTCCATTATGGGGTGTTTCTAGATGTGGCCAGATCTCATTCAAAAGGCTAAAGAAGGAGGCTTGGATGTCATCCAAACTTATGTTTTCTGGAATGGCCATGAACCTGAGCCTGGCAAAGTAAATGAGTAACTGGGCGTCTTTTAATTACTTTTTCTTCTCCATTTCTTTTGGGTTGTATTTTTTTGCTAATGTGTTATTGTCTTTTTTGCTCTTGCAGTACTATTTTGAGGGAAGATATGATCTGGTTAAGTTTATTAAGCTGGTGAGAGAAGCAGGGCTGTATGTTCATCTTAGGATTGGTCCATATGCTTGTGCTGAGTGGAATTTTGGGTACATATTCCAACAATGCAGCTTTTTATCAATCGGAAATGATGCCTTCATTTGTCTTTCCAAATGATTCTTCTTTGCTGAGTTGCATTTCTTTTCTTGCTTCAATTTCAGTGGCTTTCCAGTTTGGTTAAAATATGTTCCAGGCATTGCTTTTAGGACGGATAATGGTCCTTTCAAGGTTAGGCAGCTTTACTTTTGTTGGGGGATATAATATTTACATATTACACGATTCCATCCTACGTGCTTCTTCTATATTATTATTATTATTATTATTATTATTTTTTTTTTTAATGTTTTCATGATTATGATTGATCTCACACTAATTCTTGTGTTCACTCTGCAATTTAGGCGGCAATGCAAAAATTCACCACCAAGATTGTCAATATGATGAAAGCAGAAAGGCTATATGCAACTCAGGGAGGTCCAATAATCCTATCTCAGGTAGGGTTCTACTTGTTTTATTTCAGTAAGCTCAATGATCCGATTATTCACTAACCTTTAAATAAGCTAGAGAAATCAGAAGCTGAGCTATTTTGTTAATGTTTACAGATTGAGAATGAATATGGTCCTGTAGAGTATGAATTGGGTGCACCTGCTAAAGCTTATACAAAATGGGCAGCCAAAATGGCTGTTGATCTAGGTACAGGTGTTCCATGGGTCATGTGCAAACAAGATGATGCCCCTGATCCTCTTGTGAGTGGCCTTTTATTTTATTGTTTTTTCAAATTCATTTTCAGTGTTTGCATTTCCTTCTTGCACCCATTCTTATGCTTCTTGGTGCTTTCATGCAATGGTTTCACACTATCGGTGGTCTAATGTCAGTGATTTTGTCTTTCTTATGTGGCCCTGCAAAGATTGCATCTTAGTATTCCCTGCACATGGTGTGTCTGTGTTTGTGTTTTCTTTGTTTTTAATAATTATTATAATTGATTATGTTCAATAGTCAATCCCATTTGACTCAGTTTCTTCCAAGTAATAAAATTACTGAGTGAATCCATATTTTTCTGTCCTTGACCATAAGTAGGCTGCCAGTTTCAGCTTTTATTTTAAGCAGTGTGAGAACAAATATTATAACTGTTTGCATGAGCACTGGTAAGATAAGAATGTGATGGGAATAATTGTCTCTTCAATCATTTTATTGAAAGAGAAATTACAATTTTTTGTGAGTTACAACATTCTGATGAATTGTCTGTGTCTGTGTTTGTTCTGCTCAGATCAATACGTGCAATGGCTTCTACTGTGACTATTTTTCTCCTAATAAGGCATGGAAACCAAAGATGTGGACAGAAGCCTGGACTGGATGGTAAATTTTCTTCATGCTTTTATTCTTAGTTTGACATGTTTTAGGTGTGTAACAAGATGTTGAAATTCCAATTGATTAATCCTTTTGTAGGTTTACTGAATTCGGAGGGGCCGTGCCCTACCGCCCAGCTGAGGACTTGGCATTTTCTGTTGCTAAGTTTATTCAGACCGGGGGATCTTTTATTAATTATTACATGGTAAAAAGTTCTACTCTCAGTTCATTCAAACTCATGCATTTATTCTAATAAAACACTTTTAAATGCTTTTACAGCCATTCGAGCTGGAAGTATCTTTTTCATTTTGAAACTAAACTTTCCTCCACATTTCTTTTGACCATATGGCAGTTCCATGGAGGAACTAACTTTGGCAGGACGGCTGGTGGGCCATTTATCGCGACTAGCTATGATTATGATGCTCCTCTTGACGAATATGGTATTTACTCTCGAGCTTATGTTCTGCTTTCCATTTTGGTAATAAATCTGCAGTGTTCACATATATCTTTGGTGCTATAATTTTCTTACGTCTTAGGATTTGGTCTCAAATATTTGTTAGTAGTAGGATATCTTCATGCATTTGCTATATTCGTTTGCTTCTAGGCAGCATCAATTTGCCTCATAATTTTTTATGGTCATTTCAATCATTGCGCAATAATAAGGTTGACATGTAGACTTTACTTTATGTTTGACCCTTCAATGTCTTTGTGATGATGCAATTGGATAGTTGATCTGGGGCTATTTAAGAATAGACTTGCACTTTTGTCCTTATTTATGATGCCTGAGAAAGTCTGAATGTCAGTATAAGCCAAATAAATACACTATTCCATCTTTTTTCACCTCATCTCCAATATCCGAGTGTTCTTGCTCTTGAATCTGGAAATATTTCCGCTCTAAAATCTTGTTGAGTAATTGTGAAGAGCACTAGTTGTCTGGGGATCCTAGCAATCACCACTCACATTGATAAAATCTTCATCTTCACTTGCAGGCCTAATACAACAACCAAAGTGGGGCCATCTCAAGGATTTGCACAGGGCAATTAAGCTGTGTGAGCCAGCTCTAGTATCCGGAAATCCCACTGTTACTCCACTTGGGAATTATCAAGAGGTTTGCTTTGGTTCTTCGAGTTTACCAGCAGTTAGTCTCTTGAACATGGTGCTCAGGCTCTCATTCTCTTGTTTGATGTTGCAAATACGCAGGCCCATGTTTTTAAATCAAAATCTGGAGCCTGTGCGGCATTCTTGGCCAATTACAATTCTGAATCATTTGCAAAGGTTTCTTTCGGCAGCCAGCACTACAACCTGCCTCCTTGGTCTATAAGCATTCTTCCTGACTGCAAGAACACTGTGTATAATACTGCAAGAGTGAGTAAAGCAGACCCTTTCTAAGCATTAACTAGCTTTTGGGTTCTGGTTGCAGATTATGCCAAGATTTTTTGAAGAGTGCATATTGCTGGTATTTTACTTTGACCAAATATTTGCTGACTTTTGGCCTTAATGTAAAGGTTGGTGCTCAGAGTGCACAGATGAAGATGACTCCTGTTCGTAGGAGCTTTTCCTGGCTGTCGTATAATGAAGAGCTTACAGCTTATGATGATGATTGGTTTACAGCTACGGGATTGTTGGAGCAGATAAATACCACCAGAGATTATTCAGATTATTTGTGGTACAATACCGAGTAAGTGCTTGGGTCATCGCCTTAATTTGATTCATATGGAGCTCTATGTGCAAAGAATTTGTTCATTCAAAAGAAATCTAACTAACTTGTGGTTTTCTAGTGTGAGAATTGATGGAAGCGAAGGATATCTGAAAAGTGGAAATTGGCCTGTTCTTTCGGTCATGTCAGCTGGTCATGCTTTGCATGTCTTCATTAACGGTCAGCTATCAGGTTGGGAGTGTTATATTTAGCAACAAAACTATGATTGTCTTTGATACAGCTTATGTTTAATGCTATTTATCTGAATCTACACAAAAAAAAGTTCAAAAATAATAATAAAACCTTCCATTATGACAATTATCACTTGACTGTTGTCCTTACGTTGCTTTCAAGATTCTGCCTGCTGTTTTAGCTTTTCTTAAAAGTTGTTTTCATTGTGAAAAGTGTTACCTTGAAAGATAATGGTGCCGTAGTTGTTGAACTTACCTAGACCATCCTGTTTGAACTCCCATAGGATGTTTTCCCTAGCTGCACTCCAGATTACTTTGCTTTAAATGAATTTATGAAATAATTTTTTTGGTTTCCTATTCTTGGCAGGAACTGTCTATGGTAGTTTAGAAAACCCCAAATTGACTTTCAGTCAAGGTGTAAATCTGAAAGCTGGAGTTAACAAGATTTCACTTCTTAGCATTGCTGTCGGTCTCCCGGTTAGCTCTCTCCCCCTCCCCCTCTCTCTCTCTCTCTATATATACATATATATAATTAATCTTTTCAAGTTTTAATTTTATTTACTGTTTCTGGTCAATGCCTTTGTCTCAGAATGTTGGACCACATTTTGAAACATGGAATGCGGGTATTCTTGGGCCTGTTACGCTGTACGGTCTTAATGAGGGGAGACGAGACTTAACATGGCAGAAGTGGTATTACAAGGTTGGCTGTAAAGTTTGAAGTTGTTACCTGTACTGTATAACCAATTGTTACTTTCTCAGTCATCGTAAATGGCAAACAACTCACCTAGCTTTTTAATCAGGTTGGTCTGAAAGGAGAATCATTGAGTCTTCATTCTCTAAGTGGCAGTTCTTCTGTGGAGTGGGTTGAAGGTTCTTTTGTTGCTCAGAAGCAGCCACTCACCTGGTACAAGGTCATGCTGCGTGCCTGTTCTCTATGATTTGTCCATGTCATATACACTAGGAGCTGAAATTTGTTTCACCTTTCTTTCTATTTCCTTGCTTTTTGGACTAGTGGTAAACAATTAAGAATTCATCTTGTATGATTACGTTATGTGTTTGCAGACTACATTCAATGCTCCATCTGGCAATGAGCCTTTGGCTTTAGATATGAGTACCATGAGCAAAGGTCAAGTATGGATAAATGGTCAGAGTATCGGAAGGTATTATCCAGCATACAAAGCATCTGGTGATTGTGGCACTTGCAGCTATACTGGCAAATTTCATGAAAAGAAATGCCTCAAGAATTGTGGGGAGGCCTCACAACAGTGGTAAGTTTTTAGTTCTGGTTCCTTAATGTTCGGCCCCTTCGTTTCTTTATGGTGATTAGATATTTTAGAATGGACTTGCTAAAAAGTATGTGAACATTTGCAGGTATCATGTCCCTCGCTCCTGGCTATACCCAACCGGAAACTTGTTAGTTGTTTTTGAAGAATGGGGCGGCGATCCGTATGGCATATCTTTGGTAAAGCGAGAAGTATCAAGCGTGTGTGCAGATATATACGAGTGGCAACCAACGTTGGTAAATTGGCAGTTGCAATCATCTGGTAAAGTCAGCAAACCTCTGAGGCCAAAAGCTCATCTCTTTTGCGCTCCTGGTCAGAAGATATCATCGATCAAATTCGCTAGTTTTGGAACTCCAGTAGGGGTTTGTGGAAACTACCAACAAGGAAGTTGTCATGCCTATCACTCTTATGATGCGTTTGAAACGGTATTTGAACTTTAATCTGCTTAATAAAGTTGCCAGGATTTACATTTTCACAACTTTTTTTTTTCGAAGTGCATGCAACACGATTTTTTTCGAAGTGCATGCAACACGATTTTTCTTTACTAGCTGGAAAAAGGACTGATGTTTTCTTGTTTTGGGAAAATTGTAGTACTGCATTGGGAAGGAATCATGCTCAGTTACCGTAGCTCCTGAGCTTTTTGGCGGCGACCCATGTCCAAATGTGATGAAGAAACTTGCTGTTGAGGCCATTTGCAGTTAATGATCTCGATTAACTATGGCTAAGCCCTCACGCCAAGTGCATTTTTTTTTACTCAAGTATGATTTCTCAGATCATTTCCTTTCCTGAATTACACATCCAAACCACACCACGATTCAACAATTCTTGAAGATTTGTTTTGGGCTTTGCTGGGATGAAGTTGTACAAAGACGCAACACATCATCGGTCCAAGGCCCCCCCCCAATGATATAGTCGTCTATTATGAAGAAGAACATTCAGAGGAAGATAATATTCTGTACATAAACTAGTAACCATTTTGCTCCCCTGATTCTGGCCTGCAGCAACTGTACAAGAGTCGAGAATTGGGAAGATGACTTTAAAGAAGCACATGGAGACGATTTAGGTTTAGTCCATGTGCAAATTATATGTTAGATATATTATTTTTGCCAACATTTATTGTACTACTCCATTGAAATTGAAAGCAATAATCTCATTTGCTTTGCAACCATGATAGTGATAGTTAAAACATCAGTTTTGTTGATCATAATATTTTCCACTGATTTTTTACTCCAAAAAAGAAGACTTTAATTTTTTGGAATGGAGTAAAAAAGGGTCCAGGTCCTCCAGGATGACGGATTTGATATTTTGATGATAAACCATTATCCAAAATATACTACAAGATCGATCCTTCAGTGGAGGAGTTAGGGATTTTTTTTTTAATTTTTATTATTATTATTTTTTCCATAGGGCCTTGAAGCTCTGACTTTCAAGAGCATTGAAAGGTGGTGGGAATGTGAAAATGTGACATTTGTTTAAGCAAAGATTATGAATTAGGGAAAGGAATCTTGACTTTGTGAAATTGTGATTGGTGACCACAAAAAGCCTGTTTAAATTAATTCTACTAATAATTAAGAGCAGCACTTTGGCTTCATCATCTTCAGTCTCACTCAAATGTTTCCTCCTGAGTGATACATATAGTTATTGACTTGTCAGTTGGGTTGAGATTAATTTATGCATCTCACAATTATAATAAGCTCATTGCGAATTCCAATGCTTGCATTTCCTAAATGAAAGTGTTTTCACCTTTTTTTTTTTTGTTTCTTTTTTACCGTTGGTAAATGCGGTAATAAATACAGTACTGCATCATTATCTATTTACTCCAAAGTTCAAAACTCAAAGAATGCAATCATTTACAGTAAACACAAGAGCACACAGACCTCATGAAAATGAGTCACTAATTACCATAACTTCTTCCTTAACAAACATAGAATCTAGTAAGCGAAGTCAAAATCATTCATATAATAATAATAATCCCAAAGTATCTGATATGACATTTTCTGTAAATAGAATCTATATGCCAAATATAAATCTTAGTTAACTTTAAATAGATAAATCCTAAAATGTGAAGTCTGCACAAGTAGATAAATCCTTATTTAGAATTTATCACCTATAAAATCCACCAAAAGTGTGATGCAAAATGTTTAGAATGTGAAAATTAAAAACGGAACAAAAATAAATCTTCCACGTAAAAATATCACAAAATAATAAAAAATTATCCTTCAAAAACAGAAAAATAGAAACACACAGTCACACAGTAAAACCAAAAGAAAGGAAAGGATTGAAGAAAACAAATGCCACTGGTCACTTTGTATTTTTTTCGTTCCCACTTAGATTATGGGGGAGTCCCTATTAGTCAGTGAATCTCTCTCTCTGCAATATCCTGAAAAAATCCCATTTTCCATTGCCTTCGTCCCTAATCAGATGACTCGTTTTCCTCTCAAAGATGCCACCTTTTCTCCCTTTTTCTGATTATTATTACCATTATCAATATCAGACAACCACCGCCATGCTTGTTTTTCTCGTACTAATCGCTGCTTTTACCGTTTCCCTTTCTTTCCTCTCCGTCATTGTTTTCTCTCTTTACTCCAGGAAATTTAGATACGCAACGACGAAAAGTCCAGGCCCGAAACAGCTACAGAAAGTTACAGAGAATGACCCGCTTCCGTATATATTGAAAGCTGCTGCTGCGGCGGCGGATTCTGATGAGAAAGCCCAGTTGGGTCATGATGGATCCAAGGCGGCGACCGAAATGACCCGCTCGATCGTTCTGGAGGTATTGCCTTCTGATTCGCCTAAATGCGGGGAGTTGTTTAAAGATGAGGGGGCGGATAAAATTGGGTCGGTTCTTCTAGATGGCGATGAAGAAGAGGAGAAAAAGAAGAAGAAGAAGAAGCAGAAGCGGGCTAAGAAGAAGAGACCCGACCCAAATACAGGGGGTGGTGAAATGGCTGTGGAGAAGAAGAAGAAGGAAGAGCTGCTCTGTTTGTTTCCATTTACGACGTCATCCAGTGCCATTCAGAGAAAGATCAAGAATCAGTATGATCAACTTGTCAAGTCCCATGATTCCACTGGCTTAACTCTCGTTCAGGTGTTTATTCACTTCATTGATTGACTATCAGGTTTCAATTTGGCTATTGATTTTTTTTTTTTTTGCGTTGTTTCCCTGAATTGTTGTTTTGGAAAAAGTTGGAACTGTTATTGCCATTGGTTCTGGTAACCTTTGCTTCATTCCTATAATAGCAGAGAATTGTGTTCCTAATTTATAGCAATATGAGAAATACGAGTTCTTATGGCTCATCTGCGCCAACACCCGATTAGTGGCAGTCTCTTAATAGTCTGGATTGTGATTGGTCTTAAAAGGTGGCGAAGCTTGAAAAGTTTGCGCTTCAAGGTAGATGTAATTTGGCCACAAACCGTGCTGTTAGTGTATTTTTTTCAAAGTTGAGCAGAAGCATACACTAATACAAATGTGATACCTCCATAATGACTTAGAGAAATGTAACCATTTCAAATATGCTTAGCATACAAGTCATGAAGTCTGGCTGCACTATTTGCAGAATTATCCTGTTGGGAAATGGAACGGATAAAATGTGATTGTGTAAAAACTGTAGCATGCTGTGCAATTATCCAATTCAACCTTTACACACTGACAATTGCAAATTTTTGAAGAAAACACTTTCCTAGACATTTTCATCTTTGCTTTTATCATCTTATGTTTTGTGAAGTATTGCAAAACCTATGCCTGATGGATGCGTCCTCCCTCTTTGTACATGAGCTTCTCACTGCAACTGCTCCTTTGTTTTTATGTAATGCAGGTTGGGCAGTTTGTTAATTGCCTGGTTGGAGCCAAAAAAGAGCTGCAACACAGGTATAGTATTTCATGTTCGGTCAATTCGTAATAAAAAGGAGTTTGGGCTGTTATTTCCAAATTATTTATAGTTGATTATTCATTTTCTAAGCAAATGTCTCATGTTGATTACATGTATAATCCTCGGATATGATTGATGTTTATAACAGCTATATATGTATATCTGTTTCTAACAGGTCTGAGGTTATTCAACGGAAGTTTACCATTGCAAAAGCTTTACTGCTGAAGGCAGACAGGTCTTCATTTGATCGCTTACGTAAACAGGTATTTGGAGATTGAATGCTAATATGAAGCCCTCATACAAAATGGATTCTCTTTCTTCTCTTTACAAGGTGAAAATGTTTTCCTTTTATGCAGATTTACAAGCTAGAATTAGAGCAAAAACGATTAGAAGAGGATGCTTTTGTATATAATTGGCTCCAACAACAGCTGAAGCTCTCTCCTGCTTACAAGAAGGTAGTTAACAAATTGAAATGAAAACTACTTATTCTCTCGCAAATATGTTGACATAAGCGTCTACTGTGATAATTCTTACTGAAGATTCTGGAAATCGGTGCCTCCATGGAAACGACACACAAAGTTGGTGCAGAAGTAGAGAGCAGTGATAATGATTTTGCTGATATTTCATTTGAAGAGTTGTTAGCTCAGGAAAAGAAGGATGTGTTTTGGTTGGTCTCTCGCTTCAAAATCAACAATTGTTTCTTTCCTGCTGGTGTGATGCTAATGATGTTATTTCAAATTTTGCAGGCAGAGAAATGGGAAGATTACCAGATCAAGTTGAGTTTTGGCGGGGATAACTTTATTTGCGCTAACTTTTTAGTGGCAGTATGTACATCAATCACCCTAAAACTGCACAATGCAGCAGAAATTTTGTAGTTCAGGGCTTCTGGCTGGTGCTCCATGGAGTTAATTTTGATAGAGAATTTTGTAGTCCTCTCTCCCAATCAAATTTGCAGTGACCTTTTCCGACTCTTCGCAATGTAGATTCATCAGTTTATGCTCCCTTTTTGGCTTTGCATCTGTGTGAAAAGTTCATAGTTCTGTTAATGAGCAAAGTTCCCGAAAATTTGTGAGTCTGGCATTGCCCAGGGTTCTGAATACCTTATCAGTTATCATACAGTAAAGAGTTTAAAATACCATGGATATGCTGCTTATATTTGTACTCATATGTCAAACAAGATCTTGATCAAACTTTTGTGCATCAACTCTGCCTTGAAATTATGCAGCTTCAATAGCCTAGTTGTCTTCTAATTAAAATACAGTTCCGCCATTTCACTAGTAGGGCATGGCGAATACACGGAAATTTGAAGATTCATTCCTTGGATAGCTCTACCAAGGAATGGGAAGCAAAAAAGGTATTAGGAAGGGGGAGGGTGCAATTATGCCCTAATGCCAGCCATGAACATCATGCTTTTGATTTTGATGATTGAGCGTCCTGGCTTTCTGGTAAACTAGCTTTGCCTTTACGCAAAGTAAGTAGTAATCCATAAGGCAGACAAAGGTTGATGGAAATCTCTCAAGTCACTAATAGGCTTTGTACCAGTAATAATACCTTCTGATGAAGTATAATGATGATTTGATACTTTTTCATTACCTCTTCAAATGGCAGTGGTTTTCCTTCAAAATTAGAAGTCAACGCCACAATTCCACATACTCCGTCCCTTCTTGTTTATTGTGAATTATAAAATGGTACGGCATTCTTTACTCTTTCAAACGTTTCGTGTTACTTGCAAGTTTATTTGTGAGTTACAAGTGCATGTACAAAAATAAGCACCCAACAATAAAGGACACTGTACGAAATTGGATATGGCAGCACCACAATTACTGAAGGTCAATATGGCTATGAATCACAAACTATTCACCTTGCAAAACTTCATAGTAGTAGAGTTCTCAAATGTACCAGTTATCAATCAAGACAACTACAAAAAAACCTGTTTCTACACAAGAAGTATATTTTAAGGTACACTTCATCTCAGTAAAAAGGTGTAACAGCATAAAATAAGGACATACAAGATCCCCCTAATACTAGAGCAGGAAATTGAGAAACACTAATTGCAGGCTGGGAAAACTTCCAGAGTTCCTATCTCCTTCTACTATATCCCACAAAGTGTGTGCTCCAACCTCCTTCATGCCGCCTACAAGCTCGACTTCCCGGCCATTTTCAACTAAACCCGCTGAGCTACTTCGGTTTTACATCAGTCAATCTTCACAGAAGAGTAGATCTTCCTAACAAACCAGAAGCAAGCATAGAAGCCGATTGTGCCCGTCAACACAAAGAAGGCGTATGAAGCTATCATCATGTAACCAAAGTATAAGATACCAGACACTAGCTTTGTGATTTCCAGCTTGGTGAAGAAGTAGAAAACAGAGTAAAGGAAAAGGTATAGAGCTGAGGAACCAGCAGTAAGGTAGGCCCTCCACCACCAGTGATAATCCTCACTGCAGAGCTGGAAGTAGCAGAGAACAATAGTAATTTCTGCGCACGTGATTAATAGGATCACAAACACGATGAAAAGGAAGCCAAAGATATAGTAGAACTGGTTCAGCCATATGGAAGTCAAGATAAAGAACAGTTCAATGAAGACTGCCCCAAATGGGAGTATCCCTCCAATAAGAATCGAGAAAATCGGTTTCATGTACCATGCCTGTTCTGGGATTTGACGGGGTATTTTATTGGTCTTCACTGGGTCTTCAATGGCTGGTTTCTTGAAACCCAAATAGCTACCAACAAAAACTAAAGGCACCGATATGCCGAACCACAAGCATACAAGGGCAAACATGGTTCCAAAAGGAATAGCTCCAGATGATTTCTCACCCCATATGAGAGCATTAAGCACAAAGAAGACGGCAAAAAGAATACCAGGAAACATGAATGCTGTCTTCAAAGTATTCCTCTTCCACTCAGTACCCTTGAACATCTTGTATAATCGTGCAGAGGAATAACCAGCAAATAAGCCCATGAAAACCCAAAGGAGAACCATGGCTGTCATAAGTCCACCTCTGTTGGAAGGGGACAAGAAGCCCAGCAATGCAAAAATCATTGTCACGAGTGTCATCGCAAAGACCTGAACACCAGTTCCAACATATACACACAACAGGCCAGAATTAATTGGTGCCCTAAAGACATCTCCGTGGACAAGTTTCCACCCCGTTTCTTCCTGGGCTTCATCTTGTGTTTCCAACTGGTTATAGTTTGCAATGTCTCTATATAGAGTTCTCATCATGATCATGGCAACCATGCCAGAAAGGAAGAGAACGATCATCAAAGAATTTATGATGGAAAACCAATGGATCTGATCATCATTCATGAGAAGGTATGTATCCCAACGGGATGCCCACTTTATTTCACTTTCCTGCAAGGTAGAAAAGGACAAGTGCATACTGAGAAACCACTACATATTACTTAATATTCATAGAAGATGCTTCAATATATGTTTACCTTAAAAGTAACATCATATGTGAAAACCACCTCCTTATCTGTATCTACTTCCTGCGGAACAGTACTGCCTTGAACTAAATTTTTGGTGTTTTGGTTGCATGTTGTCACCTGAGGGTTCTTCTCGTCCCACTCCTTATACTCGTGATTGATGCTGTTAGAATTTTAAAAAATGAACCAGTAAGAAAGAAAGACAAAACTAAAAATTAAACAGGCACCTTTCGACCATGTTCATTATCTCTAATGCATATCATATGCTTTTGTGCTTCCAAAATTCAAAATACAGCAAACATTTTGCACTTGACAAAGGAACAAATGATGCAACAAAAACAGAAAAATGTGGCTGAATGGAGGAAACCTGTTCGGGCTAACTTCAAATCCAACAATTCGGGAAGTTTCCAATTCAGGATCTCTATGGTACATGACCTTAAAGCTTAAGTGGTTATGGATAAAATACTTCTCCTCTTTGCTCTGACAAAATAGAGAAGAGTAAAAAATGTCACATAAATAAGCAACAAGTATCGTAGAGGAGCCTTCTGCAAAATGCAACTTACCCCAGCATAGTTTCCTTTGAAACCAACACGGAAGCCATGTTCATAAGTGGTTGACTGACTACCATCCCGCCTTTGTCTAATCACAGCAACTGGGAGATTATCCAGAATCCTGCAATCCACACAAGAAATCGACTATTAATTACACTACAACAGGAAGCCATAATTCGAGTTAAAAGCTTCTAAATAAGGACAGAGAAAAACACAGAGAGGACTTACATATTGACCCGGTACTCGTCATCAATTTTTTCTTTAAAGTTCTTAGCAGCTTCAGCATTAAGCTTCACTTTACAAGCCACTTTGCAGGGTGTCTCTTGCCTCATATGAAACTGGTCATCAGCAAAGCAATTCCACAAATTCGGAGCCATTAGTAGAATGGTCAAAGCAAACAGGTACTCCAAAGGAATTTGATACAGACATGGTTTTGTTATCATAGATCTTTTACCTCATAAACTGAATTCTCTATCCGGTCACCTCGAAGCACCTCCCCAAGGTTTTCCGCGCTGTTTAAAATTTTCTTCGGCTTGCAGTATTGCAAGAAGTAGTAGTCATATGGAAGTTGCGTCTTTGTAGAGGACAGCTTGTTCACTTTTACAGGAAGCAGATCATTCTGCTCAAAAGAAACATGTATATCAAAAACCAAAAAAGAACAGGGAAGGGGAAGAGAGGAACAATGAAACACATACATCAAATCCAAGAACTAAACTACATCAACACTCGCATAAGAGTTGCTTCCTCAGCTCACAAACTAACTTAAGATTTTAATTACACAAATGCCAAAATCAAGTGTTCATCACTCAACAGTCTAACATACAATGCCCCAATAAAGATCCACATAAGGCAGGAACAAATCATTCATAAAGTTCATATCAATTCATGTTCAGCTTGACCAAAACCACAATCCACATGATGAAACGACAGCCAAAATGTCAACAAACCAATCAGACCCACAGCGTGGAGAAAAAAAAGGAAATAAAAATACCGAAGAACTCTTTACTCCACGTATAGCCCTAGATCCGAGCCAAATTAAATCCTAATCAGTCGAAATCCAAACCCCAGATCCAACTAAACACTAAGTAGTCAGTTACTTGCATTGAAATTCGGGCTAGTTCCTAACAAATTTAACAAAGCATCCAGAATTTATTAGCAAGCAAACAAAAATGAATTATTGAATACAAGCAGAAATCCACAGCAATATGACATCAGTAAGCCACTACGAGTTCAAGGCGCATGAGTATGAGAAAAAACACAAAGGAAGGGGATAAGAGAAGGAGGTCACCGTCTGGAAATCGCGGGGAGCGACGCCGGGGAGGTAGAAAGAGCTAGCAGATGAGATCAAGAGGCAGATCAGGGCGAGGAAGAATGGTGCGATCCGACCCGGATCTCGGCGACCCATGTTGGTGTTTCTTCTCGGCGCCGATTTGAAGTGGACGTGAAAATCCAGAAGAAACGGCGTCAGAGAGAGGACAGAGATAGAGAGAGAAAAGGAAGGAAGGAAGGAAGAAGTGAGTGCGTGTGTGCGTGTTTTTAAGTAGTAGTCCGGCCCAGAACGAAAAAGCGAATTAATTATATCGATATATTTTGGCTCCATTTCCTCATCATCAAACCGTATCACTATTTTATTTTTCATTTCTTTTTTTTTTTCTCTGAAACAAATCACCATTTTTTTTTTATTTCAAGAGTATTTTTTGCATTAAAAACACATTTCCTCGTAGCTTTACTTCGCTTTTTTTTTTTTTGGTCCCTCTTTTCTGGTTTGAGAAGTAATCTCATGCTGATAAACGAAAATAGAAATAAAAGTCACTGTTGCTAGACTCCTTTTTTTTGCCAAGTAGGTGATTTATAATCATTTTTAATTTTTATGCACCGCATTTATAATTTTTTTTTTTTCTATTTCGACTATGCCAGTGAAATAACATTCCGGTTCTTGTTGATCAATTATATTTTTCTTTCTGAAAAAAAAAGAAAAAGAAAAAGGCTGGTTGTTGTTGTTTCCTTTCTAACATAGCAATTTCCATCCAATACAACTGTGGTAGATTAGAAGAAAATGAGCGTTAAAGTTAATCCAAACGCTTGGAAATATAGTTCAATGAGATCTAATACTAATTTAGTTAAGTCACGAACTCACAATTGAATGATATACCACAACTTCATTACAGCTATCAAGCGAAAAATACATCTCCTTCTCCACGAAATTGACTAAGTTGAGGGGATTAGCCACCAAGTATCCTAATCAAGTAAGTATTTAAAGTTTGTGGTCCACAAAATAAGGGTTTTGCTCAGTGCTTTCTGCTAATTGATGTTTACGAAACTGAGATATGAAAATGTTGCGAATACATAGCGCTAAATAACTAAATAGTAGCTACTTATTAGTCAAACCTGAACCATAGAAATTAGAACAGGTTATTTATGTTTAAGAAACTGGTATTCATATAAGACAAAACTTATTAAGTAGTAAGCAGTTACCAATCAAAATCAAATAACATCAAACTCTAATCATTTAGCACTACAAAATTAAATTCACGGACCCAGATATTTCAGTAGAATCATTATATTGCAGAGGGAAAAAACTGAAGCTAAAGCCCAAAAACCTAAAACCTAGAAGCAGAATCGTTCAAATCAGTTAGGAGTGATAACTGAAATCAATAGATTTATTAACTCTAACTAAAAGTGGGAGGGAAAAAGGATTCGATTTATTCAACTTTAAAAATGAAATCTGTGTTTTGAAAAATAACAATGGCAACATATGTGACTTTATTTGAATTCCCTCGGAATTTTTTGAATTTAGAAACAGGAATAGGAAATCCAAAGCTAAAAAAACCCTAGCTAGCCTCCGCCTGCTCTTTCTTCTTCAGCCGCATCAGACGCCCCGCCACTTTCTTCGATTGAGGGGAGCAAGGAAATTGACGGGCATGGAATTGATCTGGGGTTTCGGAAGCTGCAGCCATGGGCACCGCTCCGTCACTTCATTCAATTTGGGGAGGCAGAAAACTGACGGGGAGCGGCTGCGAAGACGGCTGAATTTTTGTAAACGTGAGGAACTTAAAACGTTAAGTCAAACGACGTCGTTTTGATGTCCGAACTGTAATTTTTCCCATGTTCGTTTTTTAATTTCCAGAGATTTATTTTTAAAACGCTGAATGTTGTGTTTGTTCAATGAGATTTATAACCTTTTTAAAAATTGCTGATGACTCTCAAACAATGAAAATATTAAAAGAATATAATTGGAATAGATTCTTTTATAAGAATAGAGAAAATTATTGTTTTATTTATCAATAAAATTTATGAATACATGCTACCCTAAACGAAATTTGCCTCGTCGACTGGATAAAATTGGCCAAAAAATTAAGTCTGAATAGTGAATAAAATTGAAAGGAAAAATGTTTTGAGTAACATTGACAATAACCTCAAAGATGTATGTAAACTCGCCAATTTTTTGGTCAATAAATTAAGGGATCATTTGGATTTGGGGGATGAAATCGCCAAACTCGTAAACATTTGGGAAAAATCGTGATCGGAGGCCAAAAGTTTGGGAAAATCGGTCATTTTTTTTTTTGTTCTTTCACGACATAAATAAGAGCTGCAGTGACTGAGACCTTAAAAGTTAATCTGCGAAGAAGGTAAAAGAACCCTCTGGCCGCTATCCTTTAAAACTTCGTTGAATTAGTGCTTACTCTTAAAAGCATATTATTTTGGTGTTTGATTTTCTTCCTGAATTTTGTAATTTCAGCCGATTACTGGAACAATTAGGGCTACAACTTGCGTATATATGAATTGAATCAACTTTGTTCATCTTCGGCTGATTTTCTGTTTTTCTGCTTTGGACCCAAAGTGAGAACGATTTCGTCTGCCGTGGACCTGAAGGATCTGAATCATCTTCAAAGGTAAAAACCCTTGTCGCTTTTGACTCTGCCCTAATTTTAGCCTAAATGTACTAGTACCAATTAAAACGACCTTGTTCATTTCGGTTTGGTGTTTTTTTTTTTGCTTGGATTTGAGGAAAGAAAGATGGATGCACCTGAATCCTCCTCAAAATCCTCCATAAAGGTAATGTCTTTGTCCCTTCAAATCCTCTTTCCTTGTGTTGGGATTAGGGTTGATTTTGTTATGCTGTTTCTTTTCTTTAAAACCTGGTTTCGTTTTAATTTTCCTCCATATCACTTTTTCTTACTAGTTATATTATAGATTTATTAATCTTATTAGCTTTATGAATAGTAGGCCAGAACCCACATCAATTTAATTTTGTTGGTTTTGTCCGGATTGAAGGGGAGAAAGAGGGGTGTTAAACGACCCCTAAGGCGCGAGGACGTTGAACCTGTAACGCGTGAGGACGTTGAACCTTTAACGCGTGACACGATTGTTCTACGTGAGGATGGCGTAAGTTTTCCTTGCTCACCATTTATCGAGGTTTGATGTAAGCTTTATTCTTGAACCTTGAATAATTATTTTCTTTTTTTATGGTAGTCTTTTGATCCGGATGACCCTGAATTCGAAAAGGGAACCACTGCTATAGCTTTTGTTTTCAAAGATGGAATTATGGTAGCTGTTGATCATTCAAGCAAATGTGAGTTTGATTACCAGGTTAACCTTGTTTATATGTTCGCTATTCATATGTAACTGTACTAACCTAACAAACTTTCCCTGTCAAATTTAGCACTAGAGACTGAACCGAACATTGTTCAACTGAATTCTCACATGCTGGCCACAATATCTGGAGGATGTGAATTTTTGCTCAAAGATCTGCAAGAGAAGGTACTTGCAAGTTTACAATTTACATTACGAGCCCTGTTTTGCCTTGTATTATTTTATGGTGCAAACTAAGAAAGGCAACTTGACACTTTCACATAAACAGATTAAGAAATAAAAACTAAAGATTGGTTGCTATGTGTTGCAGTGCTACGTTCAAGAACAGAAAGAGGGGAAGAAAACTTCGGCTGCAGAGGTATTGAACTGGTTGGCTGAGACTCTTTCGGCGTACGAAGAGGAACCTTTGTCAATAGGAATACTGATTGCCGTCTGGAATGAATCGGTATTTCTTCTGTCTATAATTTTTAATTTTTTTGAATATTCTGAAGTAGATCCTTTCATATCCTAGTCTCTTAACTGTGTGCAGGAGCGTTGCGTGTACTGCATGAATGGTTATGGGGAAGTTGATAAAGGTGATGTACTTGCCACCGGATCTGGTTCAGTTTCTTCTGTTCTCGTGGTGCAAGAGTATGCTCCCTTCTCCTATATGCGCACAATGTAATTCGTTTAAATTGTGTTGGGAGCTAAACAAACTAGTTTCTGGTTTTTCTTGTAGAGGAAGAGGCATTATGCCGGTAACTCAAGCTGCTGATGTTGCCACTGGATCTGGTTCAGGTGGCAGACGCCGGCACTCTGGGTATGCTCCCATCTCCTATAATCCTATTTAATTCGTTTACATTGTGTTCGGTGCTATTTTTCCTGTCAAATTTTTGAAAACCAACTAGTTTATGTTTTTTTAGTAGTAGGCGCAAACCTAGCATGTCTGTACCCGAAGCTGCAGAGTTGGCCAAAAAGGCTATATGCATTGCTGCACATAATGCTCCTCATTATGGGGATGTGGTTACTGGTATGTTTTCGATCTCTTGGCTGCTGTCTTTCTTGTGTGTTAGTCTGTATCTCTGTTTATTTCCCTGATGTTTGCTTCTTTACTTCTTCTTTTTTTTTTTTTAAGTTTACCACCTTGGAAGTGACGGGTGCAACAAGCTCCTTGAGGACGATATAGAAGGATGGCAAAAGGAGAACATCAAATGCCCAGGGATAAGGTTCGAGATTATTGGAAAAGGATGGTGATGCAGCAGCGTCTTCTCCGGTCTCAATTTATTGATTTGTGCATCTTGTGGTTTGATGTTTCTTTTTTTTCTTTTGGAACCGAAATGTTGTCAGGGTACTCTGGTCTGTTGTTTATTTCATTAATTTCTTTTCGTAATGAACAATGTTCTTCATTGATTTGTATCTTGTGGGTTTTTTTATGTTTGATTTTCGGGTGATTGTAATAGGTTGAAAAAAACCATTCAATGAGTCTGGAGTTAGTAGTTATTTCACGTTGATTGGAGTATTGTAGTAAAAATAGTGAGTAAATGACCACATGTGTGACAATTGCTATTCTGTTTCCCAAGATCCATATACGTGACAAGTTACACCCTGCGTGCTATGGGAACCTATGCCAATTTTCTACACAACAGACTCCAAAAAAGTATCCCAATTATCCCATGTCCATGCTTGTTTATCAGGTCCCATCTCAGCCTCAGGGCGGTGGGATTCCTGCAATCGTCTCTGATTTAGCTGATTGCTAAATCAGAAACTTTAGCATTAACCAAATGTGGTCATCGTCATTCCCAGAAGCGAAAGCTTGGGCTATGTTTGTGTGGTTTTTTAGTTAGTTTTTTTCAGAATTTTTAATTAATATATGTCTCCTCCCATCATATCTTTTTACATTTACGATGCGCTTTTATACATTCTCAATATATTTTTTTTTACATTCTCAATAAAAAAAAGAAAAAAAAACTTAAAAAACCTTCCAAACATAACGACATAAGTATCGAAGTAATTGTAACATCCCCAGTATTGGTAAAATTAATAAACAAATTAATTAAAAATATGGGTTGAGGGCATTTTTCAAAGAATAATTTTAGGTGATAATGAGTAATCTGCACATGAATTGATTTTTAATTTGTGGAATTTAAGGGGAAAAAAGTATAATTAAGAAATGCAAATATGCTGACGTGACAGGAACTCCGAGAGTGAGGAAGGAGCGCGGGTGAGAGGGTAAAAGATACTAGTAACTACTATTGTTTGGCAGTAAATGGAAAACGTCTTTTTGTTTTGCCATTAATAGGCGCAGCCTTAATAATAGATTTATTCTGTCAGTTACTTTTTATCTTTTTCTTTCTCTCCCTCTCCCAGTTTTCTTTTTCCTCCTCTCCGTTTCAGTCGTTCTTCATGGCCTTTGGTTTCTTCACTTCTCCCTCCCTTGATTTTTCCGACGAGGGAATTTTTTTCTTCTTTTGGGTGGGGTTATACTCACCCCTTCAGGCTAATCATAGATCTGAAGACTTTTATATCAAGTCTTCAGCATCGATGCCTGATAAAATAGACAAATGTCTGTTGGATAAGTCAGTTTGTTTGATGGTTGTTTTGTATCTCTTCTATTAATTATTCGTTTTTCTTGATTATTATTTTTATTTATTTATTACATTTTGATGGGTCTAATGATAGATCTGAAGACTAGTAATATATCAAGTCTTTTAGGACAAGTTTGTATTTCTGATGGTGTTTTGAGGGTTTGTTGTTGTGTATTGCATCCCTTAATTATTCTTTTTCGTCATTAATTTTATTTTCCTACTTTTGTTTTTTAATTATTAGGTAAATAATTTTATTTTTCTATCTATTTGATGGGATGGTCCTCATCCGTTCTGGCTAATCATAGATCTGAAGACTAATTTATCAATTGTTACATCGTTGCCTGATGAACATACAGTCTTTAGGACGAGTTTGTGTGTGTGTTTGATGATGTTTTGAAGATAAATCAAACAAAAATTCCATATATTCCGTATATTTATATCAAGGAGGATCTATAACCCTGGATGACCACTTACAGTTTCTCAGGTTTCTTTTTAAGTCCCATGAACCCTAACGTGTTATGTGTCTATCTTTACACTAAGTGGCAGGCTAGACTACAAACCTCCATAGATCCTCCTACAGAGGAACCTGTTTATCCATTGAAATTATGATCTGTTTCATGGTAATTATGAGTCTCCCTACTCAATGTAAAGGGAGATTTTTAAGTCTTTACTTATGTAAATGGAGGTAGGCTCTTATCTGTTGCTAATCACTAATTTTGTTTTAATGTGTTGGATGAGAGGACACTATTATTTGGATCTGGATTTGACTTTTAATTGCTTGTACTACTTGTTGTTATTTTTGTCTAATTCCAATTGCAGGCCTTCCTTGCTTTCGCTGCAAATGAGATTTAAAGTTTTTCAAGTGCAATGAATTTTTAATTTGGTTAATTTCATCATGGATGGCAGATCTTTTATTAGGTAATGGTTGTATCATGTCTTGGAATCAAATTATATTTAAAACATTCAGTGTTCAAACCCGTTCATTTTCCATTGCATATATGTTTGCTTCTATTTTGCCATTTGTTTTCTTAATTAATGATGTTATTTTTAATTATACAATACCATTCTCATTTTTTGTTTTCTGTTAATGTGTTTGATTTAAAAAAAAAAAAAAATCTTTTGAAGGTTACAACAGCAAACTATTTCATGAACCCAAGTCACTAAATTCTGTCCATAATATTATTGGCTCCTGCCTCTTCCAACTGTGAGCCCAACTCTCAAAAATATTTTTTCCCAAGGCCCACCCATCCAGTAGTATTCATAGGGTTTAAGTCATTTATTCTAACACCTCATTCAAAGCAGCAGCAGCAGCAGTTCTCAACTTCTCATCCTACTCAAAAAACCAACTCAAGCATCTGTTTCCTTCTCCAAAAACAAAAATGGCAGATGCCTTTGAGGCCTGCTTGACCCTTTATTAAGGTAATGAAATTTTGTTTTTCCCCCCTTGTTTTTATGTATTTTTAAAGTATTGATGAGTTCTATGTGCACTTTTTTCTATTTCCACTTCTGGGTTTCAGTTGCTCTTCATCCTCTACAGTACACTGCTACATATGGATGCAGAGTCTGAACCCTATGTGTTTTCTTAATTGCAGATTCCTCCTAAGATTCAAATTTGGGATAAACCCTATTCTTTACTACAAAATGGCAAGAGGCATGTGTAATCATTCCTCAAGGTTATATTCTTTCATTTTTTTCTAGGTTGCATTGATTTTTTTTTTTATGTTTTGATGAGTTTTATGACTGTTCCATTCATTTTGTTTTCGTGGTGTCCTTGTTTTTAATGCTGACATCTACAAATGGACTACCTTTGTGTTTTCTTTACTGCAGATTCTGCCTGAAAAACAGATGTGGGAAGAACCCTGGAAAGTACTGCACCTGCAAACAACAGAGACAGAGATTCAGTAGACGCTTCACCCGTGGAAAACACTGCAAACGTGGCACCTGTATAACTGTGATGAAATTTGAGAATGAATTTGGTAAGAATGCCATTTTTATGGGCGGTGACTCAAGAAGAGGGTTTATGGTGAAAACTACACCAAAACAGATGGTTGTGAGTAAGTATCTCTGTCCGAATTATCATCTTTTGCAATTTGATCCAACTTTTTTAATTTGGCATTAATTCTCACTGTCTGATGCATTAGTTCTCACTTTCTGTTTCTATCTGTTATCAGCAGATGATATGGTTCTGAAGATAAGGCCGGTTGGCAGGACTCGCATTTTTGTTGCTGGGACTGGTGATGCATATAATATTGAATTGGCACACGGGTTTATGTCTTCTTCTTTTGCAAGTGTAAGTAACTGTTTCTAATATTCCGATTGAATTCTTTTAATATGATTTGATTTTTCGTTCAATGTACTAATTTTTAATTTTTATTATATGTTCAGCAATTCAATACACCTTATGAAGTGGCTCAGTGTTTGAAATCAGAATTTTATAATTGTGGAGCTAGCTTCATTGTCGCTGGGTGGACCAAGAAACATGGCGCTGAAGCATATTTTGTCGATAAAAAGAGTAAAATTAATGTGGTCTCAGACTATCATACTCTAGGCTGTGGCCGCAGAGGTGCTGCTGCTGCCTATAGAGATCCTGTTAGGGGATACCAGCCAATTTGTACCATCAATGATGCTGCAGAAATTGTTCGTAGAGCAGTATGTTTCGGTGCAGCAGCAAGTGCTGGTGTTGGAGGGACTCTCTATGGTATTCTTTTGTTATTTAACCTCCAATTTGAAATACTTTATCCTGGTTCTTATATTGTCGATTCTGGTTACTTTTCTTATGGTTTTGTGTTTTCTTTTGTAGATGAGTATGTTGGAGGTGATGATGGTGTCTATAACAATCTTGGAATTGAGAGGAATATAGCTGTTCGGAACGAAACTATTTATGGAATTGGACCTCCAAGAGATGTTATAGTTTATGATTATCCCTCAGACTTAGAGGTTTGATGTAAGTTCTCCTTTAGCATTATATGCAGTATTTTACTGAATTATAATTCCAGAAAAATGCTAGTTTACCAAGTTTCTGTGATGTTTTACTCTGACCTGGAACATCTTTAAGTCATTAACCTGTTACAACCTGCACCATCTCTTTATTGTTTGCTGGAAGTAGTTCCTTTGGAAATCCTAAAAAGGCTTATCGACTAAGCATTATCACTCAACTAAAACTTCAATCTTTACTGGGTTTGTTATTAGGACTGTTAAATTACCTTTATCATGTTGCTGTGGTTTTCTTATGACGACCTGCAACACTTTTAAGTCGCTAACCCATTACTACCCCCTGTCTCTTCGTTATTTGCTGGAAATAATTCCCTTGGAAATCCTAAAAAGGCTTGTGGATTTCAGAAGTTTATTTAAATACTAAGCATTATCCGGCTTGTGGAAGTAAAAAGTTTATTTAAATCCTCAGCATTATCGCTCAAACTTGAAATTCAACCTTTACTGGGGTTATTAGGATGGTTCATTACCATATTGTGAGCTCAATTTTACAGATTCTGCATCCTACTATTGGCTACATTTGTCTGTTTGATTTAGGATTTTTTTTTATTTTTAAATCTGTCTGTTGATTGAATCTCTCTTTTTTCCTTCTTTTTTTATTTTTGGAAAAAAAGAGCAAAATATTTATTTTTCTAATTCATCTCTCACTGTTATTAATTTTGGATTTCACTTTCAAGTCATTAACCCATTATTACGTTCCCTATCACTGGAGTTAGGAGGTAATCTTAAAAAGGCCTGTGGAAGTAAGAAGTTTATTCCAATACTTAGCAATACTAATCTTTACTGGTTGTTTTTAAGACTGACAGGATGCTTTTCTGGAGGTAGGTGAAGTTGATGCAGAGAGCAAGATAAGAAAGTGGACTAAGCTAAGCCTCTGTTTCTCCTAAGTTCTTTTTATAGCTTTTAAGTGCTAAGTGTGGCATGGAATATTGAAAGTAGTAGAGTTGATTACTGTTTTGACATGTTTTGGATCTGGTTAGTAGTATAGTAGTAAAACTAGTAGCATCTTTACTGTTTTGACATGTTTTGGATCTGGTTAGTAGTAAAATTAGTGGCATCTTTTTGCCAGATAAGTAGACTGGTTTCCACTGCTTTGTTGTGTTACAGATGAAGTTCCGGTTCCAATTCAATAAATCTATTAAGCGAATGGAGTTTTGATTTCTTTTCCATATTCATTCCATCGATCTCATTCTAAACTATCATTCTATGGCTGAACCGAAGTGATTATTTCTGTGGTTTTTTTAAAAAAAATGTATTTCACTAACCAATAATCAGAAGACGAGGAAGGTCGGTGCAATGGGATCACGGCGACCCACGTTGTGTTTCTTCTGGGCACCGATTGGATTGGGGGTGAAATCCAGAAGAAACGGCATGAGAGAGATTGCAGAAAAAATAGCAGGGAGAAGGGAGCGATTTTAAGAGAAGTATATTAATCATTTTGCCAATTCGTAATGCAGAAATAAAAGTGGATGATATTTTTAAGTTATCGTTTAGGCTCCGTTTGGTTGCATTGAATTGAGACCAAGAATTGGAATTGGAGCTCTTTAATTCCAATTCTTGTGTTTGGTTAACAAAAATTGAAGTGGAAGAATTGGAATTGGAATACTATTTTGGGTTCAATTCTTTGATTTTAATTCTTTTGTGGGGGTAAATAATTGGAATTCAAATTCAAGGGATTAAAAAAAATTCGCGGGTCTAAACCGGGTCATTTTCGGGTTATAACATAAACGGGTCATCTCTTTCTTTTTTCCCTTAAGTCCTTTTCTTTTCTTTTTTTTTTTGGCTTTCAGCCCTTGCCCTTTTTCTTTTCGTTTTGTTTTTCTTTTTTTCAGCTTTTTGTCTTCTTCTTATTATTATTATTATTATTATTATTATTATTATTATTATTATTATTATTATTATTATCATCATCATCATCAACGAAATCAATCTAAAATTAACATTATATTTTTTTGAGAAAAAATCAAAAGTATAATTGTCCCAAAAAAATTAATAGAAAAATATTTTAATTTTGGGTTAGAATTTTTTATTATATACTGACACAGTAAACACCATAAAATTTTCAAAAATATTTTATAATTGTTCCATATGTACACCTATATTAATATATATATATATTAAATAATACATGGCATTTTTTCATCAAAAATTCTGTAAGTTGAATTTTAAGTATATTTTTTTTCATATATAACTATATACTAAAACTAAAAAATTTTAAGCAAATTCCAAAAAATAATGTCAACATATATAATAGAAATTAATATTCATAAAATGAATTTATATTATATACAATATTTTTTACTAATATAGGGGAAAAAATCAATAAACCAAAAATTAAAAAATTTTGAAAAGTAATAAAAGAGAGGGACTCAAGGATGTTTACATATCATAGTAATAATTCTTACGCAATATGTTTCTTTTGTTTCCTATAAAAAAGTGTGTACATAATAAATCACAAAATAATATAGCAAATTAAATAAAAAATTATTTTTTCAAAAAGGATTAGTTTAAAGGACAACAAAGTAATCTAATATACATGTACACAATGATTTTTTTTTGTTTTATACATATCCGTGATAGATTATTTTGACATAGGAAATTAAGTTTTTTTTTAAAAAAAAAATTTGACATGAAGTATAAATTGTATTAATTATCTAGTAACAAATTAATTTCAATTCTAAAGTATCCAAATTTTGAAGCATCCAAACGCAAGAATTGGTATTAGAACCTTAATTCTAGTCAATTATTAAGATCTCCCAAACAAATAAATTGAGATTGAATTGCAATCCCAATATTTTAATTTCAATTTTTTTGGATTGTAATTCTAATTCAATTCCAATTCATTCCAACCAAACGGAGCCTTAAGTTATATTAAGCACCAGATATATGATATTTTTTCCTTTATTTTGACTTTTGAGCATGCTAGTGGCATAACATTCCGATCCCTTCAGAAAAGACCATCCAAATTCAACCAAACAAGAGCGGGCAAGGTTTTTGTGTTTCTTTCTGATAAAAAAAAAAAAGAGAGAGAAAAAGGCTCATTTGTTGTTTTATATAAAAAAGGTAAACGTATATCAATTAAGAAGAAATACGTAAACTATGACAACACATTCTAAGAAATGCTAAATTATGTAATTCCACATCATCTTGCCTACTCACTTGAACAAAACTAAAATAGTAGTAATTAAGCCTCAGAAGGTACATAAAAGCAGCCTGCTCATTTGTTGTTGTTTTCTTTCTAACATAGTAATTTTCACAATACATCTACAGTAGATTACTAGAAAATGAGTGTCAAGTTAATCAAAGACCTAGGAAATATAGTTCAACGAGATCTAATACTATTTCCTTAAAAAATAAAAAAAAGATCTAATACTAATTTGGTTGGCCATAATTGAATAATACACCACAGCTTCATTAATCATTACGGCTATACAAGCCAAGAGTACATCAGCAACCCGAAATATTCCCCGCTTCTCCACGAAATTGCCTAATTAGCCAACAATTATACTAATCAAGTAAATATTTAAACTTTCTGGTCCACAAAATGGCATGTTTAGAAGGTTTTGCTCAGTGCTTACTGCTAATTGATGTTCACGAAACTGAGATATGAAAATCTTGCGGATTCAAAGCTAAAATAAGTAAATAGGTAGCTACTTATTCGATGTGGCCACTTTAGGATTAGGACCTTTTTCTAGATCAAGTTTCACTAACACTGTGCACGTGTAACTTTTCAACATGTCAACAGTCGGTTGTTTATGGCAGCACAACAAATAGGTAGAACATTATCAAACACATAAGAGCGATCAGCCATATTAATTTGTTTGAACAAGGTTCTAATCAGGTAGGGGAAGTCTAACAAAGTTATTTGCAAAGTACATAGTCCAATTAAAAAAAGTCCACAGTCCGATTCTGGCAAAATACTGGCTTTCTCAGGTTTTCAGATGTTAACTCAAGAATTACATGTCTGCAGATGATTTTTGAACTTCTCCAGCTCTTCCAGAACCTCATCTTCCGGTCGGTAAATTAGGTCAATCATTCGCCATATCTGCACCATCAACAACAACAAAAGCAGCAAAAAAAAAAAAAAAGGGATCAGCCACTTCATAGGAGGCATGCATTACAAGATCATTGGAACAGGCTAAACAATTTTGTTCCAGAAAATAGACGGAGATTGAAAGAATATGCAGTCACCTGCAAAGTGCCTCCACCACCGGTACTCTCACCATCATCCGAGACGCTGACAATGGTCCATGGATCGGCAGCATTCCAGTGAAAGTCAACAACCTTATCCCTGTAGTAATTATTCAGTTTAGCCAGAAAAGTAGCGAGTCAATGCACTTCAGCACTTGAAACCCATTGAAAGGTCAACATTCACATGCTTAAAAAAGGAGCCATCCGATGAAAAATCACTAATCTAATAAGAGAAACCAAGCATGCTATTAATATTAGCAAGATGAAGGTACCTGTGTCCAGCATGTTTGAAGAATAGACCAGTAGGTGCCTTTTTATCTCCTTTAACAGCTTGGTCTTCCTTACCAACCTGGTTCAAATATTAGTTTAATCCAAGTTAGGTCCAAAACAAAAACTCCATATCCCTTTTTTCGACTGGTTAAAACATATTCCCATTGAGGGTATATTACTACTTGTAAGTCAGATCATCTGCCAATTGGTTGTCACAGGAAGGGTGAGCAACAAACAGGAACCATGGCAACATACCTTGTCATAATCCCAAAGATTCAAGATTCCATCCTCCGCAGAACTTCCAAAGATAGATGCCTTGTGCGGGGACCACTGAGAATAGAAAGCTTCTTTCAGTCATTGGTGATGAGCATCAGCAAGAGATAAGTATTTTCAACTGATAGAAAAAATTATACCGATAAAAAGAACAAACAAAATTGTTCACGTACCTGAACACACAGGACAGCAGCAGTGTGACCCTCAAAAGTATGGACAGGGGATCCAACCCCTCCTGAAGTGAGATTTCGGCGGTCAAACATGCGGACAGAGTTATCAGCTGACCTGAAAGATGCCGAATCAATTTTACGAGTCAGGAAACTTTAAGGAAAGGGATGTGTGCATAGGTTCAAAAATGAAACAAGACCTCGATTCAGCACAGCTTAAGAAGCTAAAACTAACTGCAATGTCCTTGTTCCAAAGCAAAAACAAAAATTGAAACATCTGCCACGCCCTGAAGTACTTGCTACTAGACAGGATCTCACAACCCAAGTACAAAAAAAATAGAATTTTTTTTCCCCCTTTTTGGTTAAAAGAAATTGATAATTCAGAACAGCAAGAAAAATCACATTACCCAGTCAGAATATAATTCACGTCATGAGGATTCCAATCAACACAATGCAAATCAGTATTGTGAGCCTTTTCAACCTGCAAAAGTATGCAAGAAGTTCAAATGCAGGCTCATAAACCAATCATTTGATTTTCCTACAACATGAATTACATGAAAAAGGCAGGGAAGAATGGGCCAAGTGAAGAGAGGATTAGAGGAAAGCCCATAACTCAGAGATCCGATGATTCTGTTTTTAGTCTAAACTATTTCCGGGGTCCAAACAGAAGAAATAGATTACATAACCTTGACTACAGGAGATGAACCAGTTCTTGCATCCCACAGAATAAGGCAAGAATCATCACCAACACTGCAAAATTCCTGTGCACTACAGTAAAAAGTTTTTCAGTGAAGAAAAGTACAACATTTATCTTCATTCATGACCAGTTAGACATTAATCATTTTTTGGTATATTAACTATACATCTATAGACTCTAAAGAATGGATCAACAGTAGTTCCCAACTTGGCAACCACTAACAGATCTTGAAGAAACAGTAATAGTTCTACATGGAGAAAGGCTACATATTCAACACAAATCACAGCATCAATTACCTTGAAGGGCAAAACTGAACATCTTCAACAGTATCCTCATGTCCTTGGAAAATACCTCGCGCTTTGACACGAGGACCGCCTATCTGTTTATCCTCAACTCCTCCAGCCTGTAAAGTATTAGCAGCACCTGAACCTGGGGATTTCGTAGCAGCTTGATTAACCGCCAAAGAGGAGATATGGTCATGAATGCTCCATAAAACAACTGACTTGTCCTTCCCTGACATAAATCATTCGACAATCAGTATCCAATGCAAATGTGAGACAGACTACATTCCATAGACCCACAATCACAACCACCTCTCTATAACAGAGACTAGGAAGAAAAGGAATGAGAAACTCAAAGAACCAAAGGTCCTAGAAATCAGCTGGATCATCAGGTATCATCGAGTAAGACTCCCTCCGGTCCTTAATATAAGGCATTTTGATTTGTCCTAGGTTTAACCTAGTACGTGTTTTTAATTGATAAAAAAACCTTAAAAATGTTTCATAACAATCAAGAGAATACAACATGAAATATATTTTTTTAAGGTTTTTTCGTCAATTAAAATTGCGTACTAGATGAAACTTAGGACAAAATCAAAATGCCTTATATTAAGGACCGGAGGGAGTAAAAATCAAAGCACATGACAACTCTTCGAACAAAGGAAAACATTAGCGATGGAGATGAACCTCCAGACAGGACAAAGGGCTCAGTTGGACACATGGCAAGCGCAAATTCAGCATTATCTTGATGGCCAGTCAGGACCTGAAAGGAACAATTGTCCAATGTCAATCACCTGAAAAAGGTGGATACTGGATAATCAACTCAATCTCTTGCCTGTAAATCCATCCAATGAATAAGAACAAAAGCAAATCAGATGAAGGCATGCAGAACAGTAAAGGTACAGTTTGAGGGGATACATAAATATGTCAAGCAAAGAATTCGAGCAGGATGGAACAATGGAGAAGTAAGTCACTTAGCGTCGTACACATAGCGTTCAAGTAGAACGGAACAAATGGAGAAGTGAGGCTGAGGCCATGTGCAAAGTATCTCCAAAAGAGGAATGATTTATAAAACAGGCATAACACAAATGATCCATAGAGATGATATCATAACACAGCCAATATACAAATAATGCTTTATGGATTAGAGTGTTGGTCACCTGGATACAAACATGAAGAAAAAATGAGGATAGGAAAAATGAGAATATGAAATGGATGCATGGACACACTAGATCAGATAAGACAGTGAATACATCAGGAAAAGGTTGGGCAGTCCCAATACTATGCGAGAGAGAGAGATAAGTCGATTTGGAAATGTGCATAGTAGTCCTTTCTAATCCCCACTAAGGCGTATAGAAAACAAGAATCAGAGACTTGGAACAAAATACTGCAAAATAATATGAAAGACTTCATCTATTAAACCCAAACAAAAACACAAGGTTTGACAAAACATAATTAGGAGATATGATCCATGTTTCTGGCTTTACATAGTCGGATAAAGGTTAGGTGGTTGTTTTTACTGCAAAGGTAGCAGGGGTCACACAACTACGACCAACTTCAAAAATTACAAGCTCTTCTGAAGTAAATTCTTGTAAAAGATTAAATCTCAATTTTGTATTCTATACCAGATCTGGATGAGATTCCGTCGCTCCCAAGATAGCATGACGATTAGGCTGAGACTCGACATCCCAAATGAGAACCTGGACGAGAATTATTTGAAATCAATCATAAATATAATGTTCATGAAACACTGATAACCATGAAGTTAGGAGAAAAAAAAAGAAAAAAAAGCCAACTCATTAACAATACACATATCATGATCTTACATCAGGACTGTCTGTATGTGTAGCAACGATCTTACTGTTCTGCGGCAGTTCCCTAATACGGTTCACCTGCAAAAATGCATTTCTTTCTGAGTTAGAATCGGTTAAAAAGTGTGAGTAATCAACAAGCATTAATGACAAATAGAAAGAACTGCATCATTTACAGGTTTAAATTTGTGTCTTAAAGGAAGAAAGGTACATACATTACTTCGCATTCAGTCATATTGGAAGTATTTGTCTCTTGCTCCACAAGAAGCATCAGTTTCTCATGCCAGTACACAGAAATACTCATATGTAGACAAACATAAAAGCATTTATGTAGAATGTAAATCCAAAAACTCAGTCACACATTCTCTCGCCAATACAACCCACAACTATTCTAACAGAATGAGAAACACAACTTTTTTTCTTTGGAGCTGATGCCACGACATATAGGATCATTAAGAAAGGATTCATGAACAGCGCAAAGTATGGGAAAGTGATATAGGAACAACACAATCCACAACCTCAGATAACCTTCACAGGGCCAAATTCATATGAAGTAAACCAAGAAAACCCGCAAGTTCAATAATAAGGACAGACACACAATGTGTGTAGGCACCCATGCCTATATAGTCACTAATAAAGAATAAGGAAAATGTCAGAACAACCTAGGAGATATGCCCATCATTATTTTCATGTACAACATTGTATTTAAGATATAAGTACCTCCCCAGGATGAATGATGGTTTTGAACTTTTTCACGAATGGAGACCGTGCTTCTTCATTAAACTGGTACATTGTCAACCAAGTTACATAAGAAGGTCAATGATAATGATCACAGCAGCTAGAAGTAATCAGGAACAAAAAGCACGACAGAAATAGAAGGGAATAGAGGATTGTCAAAGTTTATCGGTACATCACCTGAGATATATGCTCTGCCGCAGCTACCCTAGGTTTTACAACTTCACAATTTGCTATGACAAGGGTATTTGGAACACTGCCATCTGTCTGAAAGGAGCAAAAGAAAAAGACACATTGTAACAACGCAGATTTTTGAACCTCTTAATAGCAAACTATGAATTCCACATACTCTCCGCAAATACAAATCAGAAGTTATAATTAAATAGATTAGTCAGGCATGTTCTACTCTAAAACAAACCACTTTCTAGATCAACTGACATATTGCATTCCTATTTCCCCCTATAAAATTATTAGTGCTTAGTAGACGAGTTCATCAAGAATTTCAGAAATGCATGTTATTTGTGCTGATATTTCAACCAAAATATTGTTGATCGGAAACATCATTTTCACAAGAGTTTAGACACATTTTAACAAATTTGTACATGTTCATTAATGTTACCAACAACAGGATTGCCGTGCCTTCTGTGCTCACAATGGATAGGAGAGCGAAGCAATAAAACTTAATTAAAATATATGACAACAACAAAACATCCATTTCCGTTTACCCACACCAAAAATAAAAGGGAAAAATTTCCATATCCACTGAAGAATCCGAAAAGTGAGCAAGAAAACAAATCAGCTCTCTCCCTTTGTTTGTCATATCAGCCCTTTCATTTGACAAAATCCCCATTTGTATACTTTCCAATAATTAGTTATAAAAATTTTGCATGGAATTTATAATCTGGAAAAGAGATATACTGACTATTCAGAATGGATATGAAACAACTTCTTTCCAATAAGCTATCATAATTTGGCATACAATTTGTAAATCAGGAGGAAGAATATCCTGCCTGTTCCGAAAGGTAGAGGCGCTGACGATTCTTGTAAGTAGCTTGCTCTAGTTGTGGTCCCCATCTGAAAGAGGACAGAAGAGAAAACAAATATGTCTGATAAACAACATGAACCAATAGTGTTTAACCATTCAATAGAATCAAAAAAAAAAAAAAAAAGAGAGAGAGAGAGAGAGAAAACACAATCACGACACAAACAATCAACAAATATGACCACATATTTCTGAGACGTTTGACAAGCAAAAAACTGCAAAAAAAGAAACTCAAATAGTAAATGCATCATTTTCAGTTTAGGCAAGAACAAATTCCAAAACAAAAAAAATAAAAAAACGAGCAACAAGGACATCTGCAGACCGGCAAGCCTGTGATGGCCATTGCAAGGAGTGGTTGGTTATCCAATCGTAAAGAATGGGAATGGATGTTTTCCAGCGTGAATAAGCTTTTACTGCTGGATCTTCTTGCATCTTCAACATTAAATCCCGTCTCTCCTCTTTAACAGGCTCTAACTGGTAATATTGATATATATAGAACGATACAGAGAAATGAAGATTTGGCAGATTTAGAAGATTAGATCCTATTACAGAGAAATGCATCTACCGACGGCCTACAATAAATAAAAAGACAAACACGAGCAAATGGAAAACACGTGGACAGATGTGGAAATCGATGAAACCGATAGCGGAGGGCCCATCTCCCCAGAGTAGCACACTAGAGACATCGAAATGGGCCCAACTAGAACAAGAATTATGATTATGCATGTATAACAAGGAAAGACACATGCTACACAAAGCTACATTTCAATCCCAAGCAAGGAACCAAATTACCGAAAGAAGTACAAATTTAATGTAAGTAAACAGATCAAGTCATGGAGGACGGCGATAAGATCAAGGCGCAAAAAGAATGGCTACAATGACATTCTAAATCATAGCCACAAATGAAATACTTAACAGAATCTAAAAAGCAATTCTCCAAGGTTTATTTCACACCTCCCTGTACCTTTTTAAAAAATTAGAGTATTTGTTTAGCAAGACATCAAATATTAGAAGCTTGCCTCTACCATATCACTTCTTACTGAAAGCAAGATACTATGAATTAATATACACCCACCTACAATACTTCCTCACATCAATATCTATGCGGAAACCATCGTTCTATACAGTGAACCAATTCTTAACCAAAATACAACATAAATTTCTCGAATTCTCATGGGGTTAAGTAATATGTAGCTATACGACAACACATTCTCAAATTTGTGCGGGAAACAGCTCCTTTAGACTCTTCCATCAAACATATTATTTTCCCACAACTTGGGCTGCTACACCAATTTTCTGGTCTATTGCTATTAAGTTAAAAGATTATACTGACCATAATAAAACTGCAATTGTACTTCTTCCGCTTCCTTCAATGGCACTACCTACCCACATCGCTAAGAGCTCAGTAAATCAGGAAAATAACGAATAAATGCACGAAAACAAAAGACAATAAGTAAAAACGCCCATGACAACCACCAAATAAAAAGCACCAAAATAACCAAATGAGCATAAATTTAAACCCTAGGACAAATGTACAGACCGGCAAGAGAGTGAGGGCCATAGGAGGTTGTGATTAGCTAACCAATCGTAGAGGATGGGGACGAGGGACTTCCATTGTGTATAACGCTCCTCCACCGAAGGCGGAGATGATGCTCCACCACCACCACCGCCACCGCCGGCACCACCTCTTCCTCCTCCTTTACCGCCAGTTGTTTTGCCTTCCTTCATGGCGCGCGGGGCGGACCACGCGCTTTACCCGTCGCTCCCGACTCTAAACCGGCCTCGGAAACTACGCCGGAACCGGAGAATTCCGGTCAGTGAGAAATTGGGTCACCTTTGGTTCTCAGTTCACTTTTGGGACTCCGTATAACTTTGGTGCGTTTTGGTTTTCCCGCCTCTATTCTACGTGGCGCAATTACTGATTTTCCTATTACGCTTAAAATATTTGTGTTTAGTAGTCTCCTTAAACGAGATGATTAACTGAAAAAAAAAATATATATATATATATATATGTACATATATATGTATATATATACATATACTGTATGTTAAAAGAGGGGAAAACGCACAATTACTCTCGATTCTCGATCATCTTGCTTTTTTGTTTTTTCTTTTAATCATCTTAAAAATAACGGATAAATATTTGAATTTTGTATAAATTCTCTTTAATCTCGTCATAGACCTATCACTAGTCACCAAAAAGCTCACCATCAATTTTATTAGCTCGTGTTTAACAAATAACAATAATTTGACTAGGTAAATGCTTGGCAAAATGACAATTAGATGAAAATTCCACAATAAAACTTGGTAATTTGATATCAGATTACCTATTATTCTACATATCCAACTAGATGTATGGTGAATTGGTGATCTTATCACGTTTGTTATCACAAATGCATGAGTTTGAATTGTAATGTAATAGATGTTAAACCCGCGCGATGCGCGGGATTTATTTATACACATTATAAAAAATCAACAAAAAAATATATAAAAAGTGTAAAATAAATTTTACTATTTTTATTTATAATTCATCAGTAATGTAGGTTTTTGGAGTATATTTTACTATCCAAAATTTTACTATCCAAAAGTGGAAATAAATAGAGATAAATGGATTGATGATAATTGATTACCTAAAATTTCAGTGATAAAGATAAAGTTTATAACAATTTTTGAGATTTTATTAAGGAAAGATTATATTTATTTGGGTAATATGATACTCCCTCTGTCCCAAAATTATTGTCCAGTTTGAGATTTCACTTTTAGTATAAATTAAACTAAAAATGAAAATTCAAACTGGACAATAATTATGGGACGGAGGGAGTATTACACAAATAAATGCATTGGTTTGAAATTCAAAAGATAACATTTAATTATAGTTAAATCTCATCCTTTTAGTAATAATTGAAGGCAAGTTTTGTACATTTTTTTCTTTTTTATTAGCGAAAAATACAGCGTCATGTTTTTGGGAGAATATTTTAAAGATAACATTAATGTTGAATGATTGGTTTTTTTTTTTTTTGAATTGTAGTCTATTGATTTATATGATTGGGAGGGAGTTTTTTTTTTTTTTGAGAGAGAGATTAATTAAATGAATCCAGTAGTAACTTTGGGGATTCTTTTGGAGAGGGAATAATTCTGGTGCATTAATGTTCATTAATCCCGTCCATTAAATTTAATTAATTTTTATTTTCATATTTTAAATTATAGTTTTAAATGCCAATTGATAAAAATTTATTTACATAAAATTTGAAGGACTATTAGTATAATTGTTGTAAATATTTTTTGACTCAACCATTAGAAAAATGACACATATAATTTTATCCTATGTGGCACCTTTTAGAATTTTTTTTTGTTTTCTCTCTCTGGTTTTTCTCTTAGTATAATACTATAGATGATTGTATTTGAATAAGATAGGATTAACTAATTGTTGAAATTAGCGGATTAATTAATGGTTTTGATGGTTGAATGAATTCAATTATAAAATCGGGAATCAAATATTGTTCATTTTCTCAAAAAAAAAAAAAATTGTAAGATTGATATTTCTCGTATATTTGAGCACTTTTCACGGTGAACATTTTTCGAACAATCAACAATAATATTGAGGAATTTGCTGCATTCATTCATGATAGGAGTTTCAAAAGCTGAATTTGATTGCTGTTATTGTTTTTTTTTTTTTGTAACCATGGATTTAACTAATTATAAGGATAAGTAGTGCCTACTAATAATGTATTTTTGTGTTAGTCTATAAGATGTAGGGTACGAATTCCTTCGAACATATTACATTTCTAATGTTTCTATACAATTTGTGCACCAGATACACTTGTATGTTGTTGTATGAGCTTTACCTTACTATGTGTGAAGAAAATTGATTTGTATTGCAACTTTAATATATCGAGAAAAAAAGAGTACAAAGTCAGATATTATTATATAATAATATACTAATAATAATACAATAAACATTAGATACTAGATGCTTACTCGGGGCGAATATCCGAGGTGCCGCCTGTATTTTTAATTCGATTAAATAAAAAATACGAATCATTCTTAAAATAATAAAAAAATAGAAGAATAAAAAATCGATTGAAAGGACAGGAAGTGAGTTACTACACATAAATCTATGCTCAGATTTACAACATTTAATTTACAACAGTTAACTTATGCCTTGGTTTACATAAATCATAAACCAATATCTACAACAGAAGAATAAAAAAATCATCCTTAAAAAATCAAATTTCTTTCATGACAGCTTATTTTTTCTCTGTTGTAGAAAGAGATGAATTGATAACTGAAAGATTTTAAATAATTGATTTAAAGGCCCGGGTGTGAGAGAGGAGCGAAATGGAAAAGATCCTTTGAAATTGGGGATTGGAAAGACATTACTAGTGTTTCACTTGTTTTAAGGGAATTTCCTTACATTTGATTTTATTAATTAAATATTGTTGTTTTAAGTGATTAGTATATACCTATAATTAAGAGATTTTTACATAGTTATAATTAAAGGATTTATGTATTTGTCTATTCCATCTTTTTTTTTTTCTGATTAGTTAGAGTGCCACGGGTAAAAAATGATTTTGTACTGAAAATGACTTTTGGCGGGAAAATTTCCATTGTGATGCTGACATATGTCCTTTTTGTTTACTGCTTTAATTAAGTACCATAGATTTTAGGAGTACAGAGATTAGGCTCTGTTTGGAAGATTTTTTTGATGGTTTTTTCAAAATAATTAAATAATAATTGTCCCATTCTAACATAACTTTTTACATTTCAATGCACCTTTTTACATTTCCAATACAAAAGATACCTAAAAACACACACTGAAAAAACAATCCAAACATAGCCTTAAATTCCCATCATAAAGAGGTAAAAAGTATGGAGTAGTTGAGCAACACGGCATAAAAACTAGTACGGAGTATAACTAATCATGGTATTGGCGTCCACTAATTGAACAGGTTAACACCAAATCGAATTAATCGATGGATACACATGAAATATATGGAGTATTTTTTTTGTTGTTGTTGAAAGGAGGAAAAAATAAGAAGTTAGAGAATAAAAAAAAGAGTGGAAGCACTGAAATATGATGGATCGTACGAATCACGCTCCCTAAAGCGCTTTTGGCGCGGCAGCCAACTTTTGAACAAAAAATACAGGGTGGACGGTTAGTGGGCTCCCAATGGCCGCATTAGTCGGTGAGAGTGCCGCCATTTTTCTACGTCCCTCTTTTCAGGCGCGTTTTTACCCCCGGCTTTTAACCTAGTTAGAGTCCATTTTTGCATACATTAGTTTCATAATCTTGGAAAAAATTTGGATAAAATGCTTGGTCACTTGTTCTAAACAGAAATTAAGTAATACAACTGAAATATTAAAACTTCTTAAGGAATCCCAATAACGGATGAATTTTGTTGACTTGTGGTGCTTTTATAACATGTGATATTTGAAGGATTTCATAGCTAATTATGACAAGTGATATGGAAAAATTTCATAATTCATTTTTATAATTTAATTTAGATTTAATCAAAGAAGAGTTGATCGAGTGAAATGAATTTATTTGTCGTTAATCAAAGACCACACATTTAAATTACAGCGTAGATATATATCAATTTTATTTGACAAGTTATCTTGATTATAATTCAATAAAATAGTTAATTACTTTTGATAATATATAAAATTTTAAAATATTTAGATTGTAAATTATCCGAAGTTGGTCAAAAGTTTAGACTGATAGTACCTCTCTTTTATGAAAATAAATCACATTAAATTTTATAATTTATACTAATTTTTAAACTCGATGTGACATTTTTTTGGACAAAAGAAATTCTTCCATGATTTCCTTTACTTACTAAAATAATAAGAAAAAAAAAGTCAAAATATATTTTGCAATTAATAAGCTGAATTCAATAATCTTTTCTGCTTTCATCATTTTCTTTGTTCCTGTGGGACTGTGGAACACGCGACCATTATAAAGCTTTTCGGGCAACGAAAAACAAGCTTTTATTACCAATTCCCGAAGCGTAAAATTTTGACCTTTTTGATTGGCTACTTTGGGTCACAGTAAATAGCTGCCCGGGCCATCTTCGGAAACATATAAAAACACTCCTTTAACCGCAGTAAAAACCGTCTAATTGAGTTTTTTCCCCTAAAATTAAGATTAAGAATATGTCATTTTATTCTTCATTCATTTTTATTTCAAAAAGAAGAATAAATATGAAGTCATAATTACTAAAACGAAATCTCACATTTCATCACATGTGTTAATTTTTTATAGGATAATACTATTTGTAAATGAAGTGGCATTAAAACCTCAATTATTTTGCGGTAAAATTTAGGGGAAGGAGGATCATCACAAAATCACACCGGTTTAATCAATTTTAAAAATCGTGTTTATTCAATTATTACTACTTAGTGTATAATTTTCTTGTGGGAGTTTTATTTTCTGAGTTACCTTTTCGATTAATCATCAGGCAGTCTGAATACTGGAACGCACTTTAAAAAAAAAAAAAAGGAAGGAAAAGACAAAATACAAAAATACACAAAAGAAGAAAGAAGGAGGTCTGTAAAAAAATAGAGTATTGATTAATAATTCTCCTTCGAGATCGCTGCTCTGAAAAATTTGATCTCTGCTGATTCATATATTCCCCCGATCTTCTGAATTCCATTGTCGTCCTCTTCTTCAATCCTCATCGCCTCTGATTCGACGTCGTTCGATCCCCTTACCTAATTTCTCTCATGGGTACTTGCCCTTTTTTTCCTTGCTCTTGCTCCTGCTCTTTGATCCATCTTGTTTGCTAATTTGTTTGGATAATTGGTTAATTTATCAAGCCCGTTTGCTGTTTATTGTTTCTGCTTTTATTACTGAATCTCCATTTAATTTTTTTTATCTGATGGATTGAATGTAGTTGAATTCTTAATGCGTTTCAAGTTTGCATTTTTAACTACCTTTTTTTGTTTTTCCGTTTCATTTCTCACTTGGATAAGGCTAATCGTTGATGGGATATTGGTGATTCCCCGTTTCAGTTGGGATTTCATTTTCAGATTTAGGGTTTTGTTGGAATTTTTCTATTTTCCCCCTTTCCCTGTCGTGCTTGCTTCTTTGGGTTAAAATTTCCTTGGTTGGAGCTAAGGGTGTGTATTCGTATTAGTTATAGATGAAAAACCCACTTGCTAATTGGGGTTTTCTTTTGTGGAATAACGGATGATTCTTTAGTTGTTATGATGTCTTCTAAGAAAAAGAAGAGAATAAGAAAAAATCCAAGCAAATGAGCTAAGTTGAAGTCGAAGACAGAACTGGATATGTCCAAGTTCCTTGTGTTGTAACCTTATATGAGCTTACTTTAGCTTCTTCATCGATTTGAGATTGAAAGGGTGGAGTAAGACAGTGCTAAATGTTTTACCTTTTCCAGCTCTTTTTAGGAATCTGCATCAGTGGGATTTTGATTGAATGAAATCATAAGCCCTGAAACAAGAATTTCAGTGGAAACTGATACTCTTTGATTAGAAGTGTTTGTCCTGTCAGCTGTGTATGTGTGTTTTCTTCGCCTATTCACTGGGTTCTTGTGTGGGTCATGATTGTGTATGCTGGCGATTGTAAAATTCATTGGTACATATCACCCTTACGAGCAGTTTTTCTTGTTGAAATGGCAAACAGATGGAAGCGATGTTAGTTGTTCAACTCACCTGATAGATGGGGATGGAACTTTTAATGTTGCTGGAATTGAGAATTTCATGAAGGAAGTAAAGCTTGCTGAATGTGGACTGTCTTATGCAGTAGTATCCATCATGGGTCCACAAAGTAGTGGTATGTATCTCATTCCTTTCAGTCTAGTAGCTTATTCTAGGTTCTTTCCTTTTCCATTCGCGGCTCTTGTTTCAGTTGAGGGGGCAGTTGAAGCAGTTCATTTTGCTTTGAATTCTCAATACTCTTTATTTTTGGATGCATTCGCTACACTTCTATTTCTGGAAATCTTTATAACTCTTCTGCGGCATTGTCTAATGACTGTTGGTGGCTTCATTATTTTAACAGGGAAAAGTACTCTGTTAAATCATCTATTCCACACTAATTTCAGAGAGATGGATGCTTTCAAGGGAAGGCATGTATCCGTTGGAACCTATTTCACGATACTCAATTCTATAGATTGTCATTTCATTTTAATCTACTTGTTTTCTAAATCTACTTGTTACTAAATCATCAGGTCGCAAACTACAAAGGGGATATGGTTGGCAAGATGTGTTGGAATTGAACCTTGTACCCTCGTCATGGATTTGGAGGGTAATGATGGAAGAGAAAGGGGAGAGGTATGTTATGAGAACACATCTTGACTTCTTAAGTGCTTTATGTAGTTGTTGGGACTCACTGCTGTCAGCATGTTAAGTTTTTAGAGTTTTTGGATTAAGTTTGAGTATATCTCTAGATCCTGGTAATTGCATTGCTTTGGGATGTCAGCTGTAATACTATGGTGTTTTCATACTTTATTTGAGTCTAGCTTTTTGCTCTCCTTCTTTTCTGAAAAAACATATCTTCTAATGATTTTAATGAATCTAACTGAATGTTTTATGCTTTCTCCCTTTAATGTTAATTGCTCATTCTCTGTCTCGCTGTGTTTGACCCCTTCTCTTAATGTAACCTCTTACAATGGTTTGTTTACTACTTATTTACTTTTGCTTTCCCATCTGTGTAAGAAATTAATCTTTCTTACTCGTGACAAATGTTCAACGAGATATAGATAGTTACAGAGTTGAAGACTTGTTGTTAATGAATGGTTTTCTTTTACATCAATTGACTTGTTTCCACCAGTTCTATGATTTTAAGATTGTGGCTTCAGCTGTGATTTTAATGTTCGTCCGACTTGTAAACATTTTTTCTATATCACTCATTACTTGTTCTGACACTGTATTTATTTACTCTTCAAGGATGACACTGCCTTCGAAAGGCAGGCTGCACTGTTTGCTCTTGCTGTTTCAGATATAGTCCTAATAAACATGTAAGTTTCTCTCAGCTTAGACCAGTCTAAATTCAGGGATAAAATTGTGTATTGTTTACCTAAAATGATATTAAATTTGCTGCTCAGGTGGTGTCATGACATTGGTCGTGAACATGCATCAAATAAGCCTCTTCTGAAAACTGTATTCCAGGTAACTGTTTTCCTGCATTTGCAGCTATAGGGTCTACAATGCTTATACTAATTCTGTTTTCTGGTGAACAGGTCATGATGCGATTATTTAGTCCTCGCAAAACAACATTGATGTTTGTAATACGTGACAAAACAAAAGTAGGTCTCTTTTTTACTCATTTTGTTTCATTTTTAAATAAGATTTTATACTTGAGCTTACTTCCCATACCTTTGACCAACTTTTAGGCGTTCTGTAGTTTTCTCCCTTCTATTTCAATTTAAAATCTTATATCTTCTGTCTTCTGTTTGTAGACACCTTTGGAGAGTTTGGAGCCTATTCTCCGGGAAGACGTCCAGAAGGTAGGTTGTTTTCATTGAATTTCATATCTCTCTTCTCGACAAGGACTAGTTGATTACCTAAACTTGTTCTTTTCCTTTAGTTGATTTTCTTATGATTCCTACTTTTCTTCTTTTATTCTTTCAGATTTGGGATTCCGTTCCCAAGCCACAAGCTTACAAGGAAACCCCTATAAGTGAATTTTTTAATGTAAGATTCTTTTGTCTAATTGATTCTATGAACTGTTGTTGTTGTCATATTGATTCTTAGATTTTACGGCATGTTCAATTTATCTATTGGTGAATCTTTAATGGAAGATTTTATTATCTGATCGATTCTCTCTGATGTTCTACTTCACAGGTCGAAGTTGTAGCTTTATCTAGTTATGAGGAGAAGGAAGAACAATTTATGGAGCAGGTACATTTTTGCTACTTCAAATTTTGATAGTTGTATATATTGGCTAGTAATGCTACCTGTTTTCGATGCTATAAGCTACAATATTAATGATTTGCTTAATGTTCATCAAGCAACTCACTTTGCCGTCAAATTTTTCATTGGAAACTACGTGTTAGTTATAATTTTATCTCGATTCGTAGCATATGTTGTTTGTTGAATTTTTGGAACCTGCTTGATTTACTGATATTTTTTAATGCTTCTCACTTATGACACAATATATCGCGTTAATAAAGTAGCCCTCACTCGGAATGTCAAGCTTAGGTTCAGTGCCTTGCTGTAACTCAGATGTTTAGGACACAATAATTGAACCGCTGATTGAAGTTCTTGATTTTATTCTAAGTCAATGCAATTTTTGTTTGTTTTCTGAAGCAAAGGGCTATGTATTTATTTTTTTTCCTTCTTTTTTTGGGTTGAAATTTGGTGTAACGTTCTCCTTTTCGGTCTTGTGAAGGTGGCCAATTTGAGACAGCGGTTCTTCCACTCTATTGCACCTGGTGGGCTTGCGGGAGACAGGCGTGGTGTGGTCCCAGCATCCGGCTTTTCCTTTAGTGCTCAACAAATCTGGAAGATTATAAAAGAAAATAAGGACCTTGACTTACCAGCCCATAAAGTTAGGATGTGATAATTTTTTTGTATTTATGTAATTGATCAATTGTTAGTGGTTAAGTTGATCTGTAATTTTTATTTTTCCATAGGTTATGGTTGCTACGGTAAGATGTGAAGAGATAGCAAATGAAAAATGTGGTTCTTTTTTGGAAAATGAGGTAAGTTTATTTGTTTAAATGTTTGCTCTGGGTTGTTGTGAATGAACCAGATTGCGTTCCGTTTACTTGAGTTCACTTGAACTGGCCTTTACCGTAGGAATGGCGAGAGATTGAAGAGGCTGTTAAATCTCACCCAGTGCCGAAATTTGGGAAGAGGCTTAGTTCAATTATTGACACTTACCTATCTGAGTAAGTCAAAGTCCTAAGTCTATTTGCATAAATTGCTCAAGAATGTTTTCAGCTGGGGATTTGCTTTTGTCCCACTGAAAAGAAAAAGTTTCATAATGTTGGAAAGTTTCTCCCTTTGTTGTCACTTAAGTATAATAATAATAACTATGGCAGTTCAACTGGGAGTGGTGAATTTGGATTTGGTATCAGCTTCAATCATATGGTTTTAGAAATAATTTCAGTCTGACCTTTCCTTCCTTAGGTATGATGCCGAAGCCACTTATTTTGATGAAGGCGTGCGGATGGGAAGAAGGAAACAGTTGGAAGAGAAATTACTGCAAGTAATGAACTTTATTATACGCTTGTTCTAATGTTAGTATATGAATGGAAGAACTTAATACTGAAGGAAATATGCTGTCTTCTTGGGATTGATTACCATAATTACCTCTCAATGATTTCCTAATCTGTAAGATCCCAAAGTGAATTTTGTAAAACTTTGGACCACAAGTACCTTTTTCTCGAAGTAAGTTGCTCCAATGGCACAGTTATTTTTTGATATTCAAGTATCTACTAGAAAATTCTATTTCAATCAACTTCTCTTTCATGTCTTTCTGGATTCCACAAACAGTGTCCATTTTGACATAAACATTTTTTCGGGATTGACTAGAGAATAGGAAGCAACCATATTCCACTAAAGTGTTTCTATGATTCAGTTTGTCTAACAGATGAATTGTCAGTTTACTCATATATTCTCCTTATATTGTAGCTTGTCCAACCTGCTTACCAATTAATGCTGGGACATATTCGATCTGGTACCTTGGAGAGGTTTAAAGAAGCTTTTGATGCTGCTTCGAGTGGAGGAAAAGGATTTGCCGTAGCTGCTCGTGAATGCACTGAGAATTTTATGTCCCATTTTGATGAAGCTTGTGCTGGTATAGTTATGATGCTTCCATGTACTCCTTTTCCGACATTAATTTAAAATGAACCTTGGTTACTGGAAAATGGGAAAGGAAGGATGAAAATGACATAAAATATAATTGATTTGAAAATTAACGAATTTTTGGGTTTTTGGTTATAATTTTGAAAATTGTTCTTCTTCAAGGAAATTTGTAATGTAGATCCACATTGATGAGTATTTCATAGCTCACATTTTTTCTCTCCTTTCTGCTGTTTACCTTGGCGCACGTCAACATTCAAATCTGTAGATGCGATCATTGAGCAAGCAAATTGGGACTCATCAGACAAAAGGGGCAAACTCCAACGTGATATTGATGCACACATTGCCACAGTTTGTAAAACCAAACTATCTGAGCTAGCAACTGCCTATGAGGTATTGATTTGGAAACTGCAAATTGATAAGTGTTTCATTAACTGTTGTGAATCAGTGGAGTGCAATTTTATCCGACCTTTCCCATCCCTTTAATGTCTTTGTGCAATTTTTGTTGGTATTTGTTGGAGTCATGAAAAGTAGAGTGATGTATCTATTTTCTATGTGATTGCATCAGTGGCTCGCTTCCTGTTGCAGTGAGACTACTTTAGCCGATTAATTCTGTTAAATTACATTTATCAAATTGGGGAAAATAAATGTCATTGGTAAAACATGTCCTTTGTGCTTGGTAATAGAAATTTATCTATCCTGTTAAACATGTTTTAGGCATTTTACTGTTGTGATCTACTTTTATTTTTCTCACTCGTAGCTCAGCCGCCATGAATGTCATATTTGCAGACCAAATTGAAGGAAGCCTTAGATAATCCAGTGGCGGCTCTCCTAGAGGAAGCTAATGATGGTACATGGCCGGCTATAAGACAACTTCTTCGACGTGAAAGTGAAAAGGCTATTACTAGCTTTTCTTCTGCTCTTTCTGGTTTTGAAATGGATGAAGAAACAAAGGAGCAGATGCTGTCTAAGCTGGAAGCTCATGCTAGAGAAGTGGTTGAATCCAAGGCAAAAGAGGAAGCTGGAAAAGTTCTTATTCATATGAAGGAGAGGTTGCCACGTTTTACATTTCATTTTCTGAAGCAGTTGTTTTTTGCATATCCTCTTTTTGAATGTAATGCTTTTGTATGTGCAGGTTCACGACGTTATTTAACTATGATTCCGATGTACCACGAGTTTGGACTGGGAAGGAAGACATTCGAGCTATTACCAGAACTGCTCGTTCTTCAGTAGGGGCATCATTGTTACAGATTTGTTCCGCATTTTTGCGTTTCTGGTTACACTTATTAAATTTTGACATTTATGGGCTGTTTTCTGCAGTCACTGAAGTTGCTATCAGTAATGGCGGCAGTAAGATTGGATGCTGAGTTGGATAATATTGAGAAAACTCTGTCTCTTGCTTTAGTCGATAGCAAAGCTAGTTCTTCTTCGAACAAGAATATGGCACCTACATCAGTTGACCCTCTAGCTTCAAGCACTTGGAATGAGGTAGCGCTTCTTATTTCATTAGGATGATACCGGGGTTTAAAGAAGTAGGTGCTATCAATTTCCAAGTTAATGGAAGTTTAATGTATGTCTAATACCCAAAAGCACATGATTTTGTGATGAAGTTTTGCAATGCTACATCAACATCAACATACCCAGTGCCCAACGAAAGTTTTGCTATGCTTTACTTTTATTTTCCTATCCTTCTTCCACATTTACTTGCTTTTTATTTTCGGTCTTGGCCCTGATTCTTCCCTGGTGTGTGATTTTGAAGTTTAGTGGATTGGGATATTTCTTGGCAAAAAACTTCTATCAATAATGGATATAATTATTGACGTCCTTACGAGACCATCTAGTTATACTATTGATCTGTAATCATTATTCTTAGTACAGCGATGATATTATTTGTAGTCTAAGACAGTCATTTTGTTTGATTTGTGTTGCCAGGTTCCTCCATCAAAGACTCTTCTCACTCCTGTCCAGTGCAAATCCTTGTGGAGACAGTTCAAACAAGAGACTGAGTACGCTGTAACTCAAGCCATTTCAGCTCAGGTACATATCTGGCACCATATTTTAAATTATGGACTAGTTTTTCTTCTCTCTCTTTTTTCTGTTTTTTTTTTTTTTTTCAATATTTGCAAATTGATCATTCTGTCAAATTCTATCCCATGATTGTAAATAACTTTTAGAATGGATTCTTCAATACCCTTGTTCATGTGTCTATTTGTGGATTTGCAGGAGGCTAATAAGCGAAACAACAATTGGTTGCCACCTCCCTGGGCAATTGTTGCCTTGATTGTGCTAGGGTTCAATGAATTTATGACCTTATTAAGGTACTACGCTGTAGAGAGTTACGTAACTTTCTTTAGCCGCAATAGAAAAATATCTCTATCTAAGAAGAAAGAAAGAATGGGCCTTAGTCGTGGTGATCCGGGAACAAAGTTGCCTTTTGTTCTGTTGCTGTAGGCGATAATATCGCCTAAAGGTTTAAATTTCTTTTTGTTTTCACTTGAGATTGCATTCACTCATGGCTTTCTTTTTGGCAGAAATCCTCTCTATCTAGGAGTCATCTTTGTCGGTTTTCTGCTTGTAAAAGCCCTCTGGGTGCAACTAGACATCGCTGGTGAATTTCGCAATGGTGCTGTAAGTGTCACATTATGAGTATATTTGTTTGTTAAGAATCATGCATGCTTCGACAACTGCTTTGTAGATCTCCTTTAATTGGTTGTAATCTTTTTTCTTTGTTTTAAAACAATATTAGCACAGCTCTACTATTATTTTGAGGATCATGCATGCTTCGACAACTGCTTTGTAGATCTCCTTTAATTGGTTGTAATCTTTTTTCTTTGTTTTAAAACAATATTAGCACAGCTCTACTATTATTTTGAGGAGACATTTAAAAATATTTGTTTTGAGGTTAATATTTGTTTGTCTGAGCTTTGAGCGCGATTTTATAACTTTGTGGAGAACTAAAAAATTTAGCTCCATATAAGAATTTGATTGAAGAGTTTTCTTTGGGGTATGAGCTAGTAACCATTACTCTGCATCAAGGTTCTTTCATTCAGATTTTTAACTTGATTCCTGTTTTTCGTGGAATGATTTCTTATAGCTTCCTGGGCTTCTCTCTTTATCGACGAAGTTCCTTCCAACGGTCATGAATATTCTTAGAAAACTCGCGGAGGAGGGTCAGAAGCCGACGGATACAAATACAAACACCACACAGCAAAATCCACCCCTTGCATCAAGGAGTGTCCGCTCTGGACCAAATGAATACAGCGAAATTTCGTCATCCGCTTCCTCTGAGGTGACTTCTTCAGAAAATGGTTCAGAATACTCAAGTCCCTCATGGCACAAGGCAGAGTGAAGAGTTAGGCTCTTCTTCGCGGGATATTGGCCCTCTTTCTAAAGATGTTGAACGGGAGATTGAAAACTTGTATTGGATGCAGGATTCTGGTTCGGTCATGGGTTTTAACTTACAACGGAAACAAGCAGAGCTAGAGAAACAAGCTTCAGGGCATGATTTTTTATTAGGTGCCACATACTGGGGGGTTATTGCAGATAGCTGGAGAAAAACAAAGACCCCCACAAGAGATAGGTTTTGGGTTTTCTTTCTTCTGTCACTCCCTGCTTTTTCTCCTACTTCTTTTTATACTCTGGTTCTAAAATTATATCGTGTAGGTAGTGATTTGCATCGAGTTTTGGATTAAAAAAAAGTAACAAGGCTTCTTATTATAAGTCTTGAGATTTGTACTCCTTGTTGTCTGGTTTGCCTTCAAATTTTCACCCCAATGAGTAGTAGTAAGTAGTATACTGGCAATGTCTGTTTGTATTTTTGACAGACCGATGGATGTAATTCGATACCTTTGTGTATTTCAAAGGAAATGCTTCCCTTTATTTTGTGACCTTTTTATTTCAAATGTATTTGGTTAGTCGTTCCATTGGCGAACTAACTTCGCAACTGTATTACTCCCTCCAATTTAATTTGTATGTCGTTTTAGGTTTGGAGAGATTTTTCAAAATGTAATTCGTTTTATAAATTCTAGGTAAATTAATGATATTTTTTCCAACTTTACACTCAATAAATGATACTAATCTATTTTCATTTAGTTTTGTTTATAGTTCCAATGTAATTAATGAGGGATAATATATAATCATGAGTGACCATTTTAAAAGACTTACATTTTGAAATGGAGGGAGTATTAGTTTCGCTCTTCAGCTTGAGTGACATTCTTTATATGGTCATGAGTGTTGTAGAAAGTGTAACACTAATTTAACAGTGTTTTCTACATTGCCATTATATAAACTTCCTAGAACTATTTTTTTTTTTTTTTGGTACAATATTCTGCCCACAAATTTATTGAATTTGGATGGAGGGAGTATTTAACACAAACGTAGTTAGCAAACAAGTCAAACCTCACAACCACCTAGTAAAGGCTAACAGCAATTAAAATTTTGTTTACGTGATTTATGGTGTAGATACAATTGCCCCACTTCTGAGTCCATTTTTCTTCAAATTATTGCTCTCCATATCTTATATTATTACACGAAAACTGGAAAATCGAAATGTCCAACATCCACATTTTTGTCGAATTCGGAAAATAGATGAAAAACACTCTTTTGTTCGTTCCTTGTCCCAATCGTCATTATTCTGTCCGTTATCTTCCCACCAAAATCACCTCGCAACGTGCAACCACCATGATTATTCAAAATTCATCGCATTAATTCTTCAATTCAGGCCTCTCTCATGATCAACATTTTTGTACACATTTCGTCTTTCAAGCAAATGATTAAAAATGAACTACAAACTCTTCTTTTTTTTTTTTTTTGGGGGCCCAAATTTTGTATATTTGTCTTTCTTCCCCCTGAATCGTTATTTGCCTAGGCAAAGCAGTATATTATTATTATTATTATTTTTTCTGGTGTGTGTGTGTGTGTGAGAGATAGTAGTACGAACAAATTGTTAATGAATTTTACCTTTTGCAGTCATTATGTGTGTGTTTGTGATAGCTGGACTACTGACAGATGAATTTGGAATCATATTGAATGTTTTCACCCGAACATAGTATTTCTGAGTATATAAATACTAAATGCCATCAAACTATACATGCTCCAATACATTACACCCTGGCTACATCTCACAAACTGTGTTCCTTTGTTATATTCTTTTAAACTTCCTGTTCCTCCATCCTCTTATGATTTTATTTATAAAGTGTTTTTTTTTTCTTTCCTGAAAAATTTCATTCTCCTATGATTTTATTTTTTATTTTTTATTTTTTTTTACTGTAAAGTGGACATAATGCTCCAATACGTTTGCGGCACACATTATCAGTGAAATTGAAAAGAAAAAAAAATTAATTTGTGAAGACGGTGGAAATTTTTGCCTTTGAAGAAGGGCATTATAAGGTCAATAAACAAATGGGGTTGAGGTTGATGGAGATCTTACTTGCTTGCCATCTAGTCTCATCAATACCACCATTAATTCTTCCTTTGATTTTGGTAAGCACCACCAAAAGAAAAAAAAAATATGTAAGACAACACGTCCAAGGATAAATTAATCAATACTACTATGACTTAATTAATTATGGGACGCAACCAACCACCAATATTGCTAAGTTGACAAACTTAATATAGTTTTAGTCAAATCACATTCATCAAAATGGTCCACTTCTTCATTACTTCAAATCTTGGTGTTTGTTGCACATGCTTATGGCTTCTATCAAAACCCTAAGAACTTACTTATCACAAGATCTCTCTATATGAAAGTTCCAATACCCCCCTCCAAATGAGGTTGATTTCAAGAACTGTTTGAAGTTCGTTATCAATGCAGTACTATAGTTATGAACAAATCAATATACCCTCTTAAAACAAAAGTCCAAGTGAGAAAGAATGATGAAGTATCGCACTCTCATGAAAAGTTTTCTCTCCAAAATACATAAAATCAAAACTACGTCGTTTTTAATTAAATTTTTTTTAACTATATACTTAAAAACACATTCCTAACACAAATTCACATAAAATAAGTTCATTCTATTGCTATAAAGACAAATTTTAATTATTTACTGCGCCTTGATTCAACATTTTTTTCCAAAAAAAAAGCAACGTCGCTTGTAGAAAAAATAATCATTGAAACTTCACTGGTAAAATTAAAAAAAAAACAAATAAAATATTTTTCTTACAATTAAACTCAATCAATCTAATACTTATCTCATTAATAAATGTTAAAATTTTATGGGGGAAATTATGAGAGAAAAAATCAAGTAAGATATTCTTTTTATATTCGAACTCACGTACTCTAATATTAATTTCATTAAAGAAAATGTTAAAATCTCAATTACAAAAAATAAAAAAATCCAAATAAAACCATCTTCTTATATTCAAAGTTAAAAAAGTTTAAATTATAATAATATTAATACCACTTAATTTTTACCCTATCTTTATTAACTCACTATTTACCATTGAGTTATTATGTGTATCACCTATTTTTCTTCAGGTTCTATTTTTTTCGTAATTATTAATCGACTCAATAATGAATTTTCGTGCAACGCACGGGAGCGAACCCTAATATTAGTTATATATGTGTATGGTTTCAACTTCGTAAGCGCTTCTAAGTTAGAGTTTCCTATTATAATCGAGATTTTGAAATTAATTTTTCATGTACATAATGTAGTACTACGTACTTTCTAACAAAGAACAGAGTAAAGGTAAGCAATTAATTGAAAATGGACATAATAATATGTTAAGAAATCCAGCTAATTGTGTGTATTCATCAGTATACATTGGTAGTGAAAATTCATGTGCAAATGTCTAGACCAGAATGGAATCAATGTGGCAGGTTTGAGATGCATTTAGTGTCATGAATGCAGATTCAGGTCTCATGCATTGTAAATTTTATTTTAAAAATCTTGCTCTCTTTTTTTTTTTTCTTTTTTTTTGGATATACATAAATAAAAATTTAGTAATTTATGGTAGAGATGAACTTCAACAAAGGGCATACCAAGAATTAATCGAATGACAAAACCGTGGGTCTCAAAGGCAGTCTGCCACAGTAGTATAATTATTGTCTCTCGTTTGAATTACCACAAAAATTCCATCATTCCAGATCATACCACATGTATTTTCAGTTATTGAAAAAATATAATACTCCCTCCGTCCCATAATTATTGTCCACTTTGCTAAAAAAATTTTGTCCCAAAATTATTGTCTAATTTGACTTTTTATGGATCAAGTTACACATTTGTCCTTAGTAAAAAACATTATCCATAAAATTCTAGTGGTTAAACAATTACTTATGTAGGGGTATATCCGGTTGTTTAAGGTAAAATATAGTTAAGTTTAACAAAAAATAAAATTTTTTATTTTAGTAAAACTGAACAATAATTATGGTACGGAGGGAGTATATATTTCCAACGGATTAAGTTGCAAGTGGAGTAAGTGATCGCAACTATTTATAGATTGTACATGAAATTGGAAGTGAACAATTATTTCGCACATTTTATTCGACTATGAGTTTAACTCATTATTAACGGACTTTTAATGACTATTTATTATTATTATTATTATCAATTGCTGTTTGAGGATTTTCATAATGAAAATAAGTGCGATCGTACTTCATAGATTTTTTATTTTTTTATTTTATTATTATTTTTTTTAAAGAACAAAACTCCATGTCCAAACAAAAATAAACCAGGTTGCTAATCCTTCTCTCCTTCTTCTTCTTCTTCTTTTTTTTTTGTGTGTGTGTGTGTGTGTGTGTGTAATTGTAAACAACGTTCTTTCAGAAAATTTCTAGAATACTCAATAAATTCACCTTTTGTGGCTAAGTTGTTTATGTAGTACAACTTGTCACAATGCCAGAGTTGAATTATATATAGCATGATGGGAGACTGCGACATGAATGTAATTCTACAGTATTATATATGCAGTTAAATGAATAAAACAATTCATATCCAACTAACCAGCTACCCGTTTTTGTTTTCTTGGGAGGAAAAAACAAAGAAGAAAATTTTCCATTACATTTGAAATTAAAAAAAAAAAGGAAAATTTATGAACAGCCGCCAAATTCATCATCTAGGGTATAATCAATCAATTCTTCTGGAAAAATTCATTTGAAAAATGCTTGCAGTATCGTTTATTTGTCGTATACGAATTTAGGTATTTTATCAACAGTCAGAAGTTGAAGGATAATAGTTAGTAAAACCAATATGATCATGCCTAGAAGGTCCTTCAATTTATGATGTAGTATAATTTTTTTTTTTGATAAGTACACTGTTATCTCTTCTGATTCATAATAAGTTTATATTTGGATCAAGCTTTATAAACAAGAAAAAAAAAAGTGTAACTTAGGTAATGATTTTTTGATACACTGTTGTGACTAACAACTAGGGGTACCACAATACATTAACACAATTTCCTTTTCACAAAACAGAAAAAGGGGGCCGAGAGAAAGATAGCAATTTCGCATTAATGGTTTTAATGGTTTGTGTGTGTGTGTGTGTGTGTGGTATGATTCTATGTACTTCACAAAAACGGAAAAAAAAAAACATTACACCCGATTTTAAATTTGAAATGTACAGTTAAATTAAGATATTCTCCCTACCCCATCTTCTCATGTTACATTGAATGAAATGTCTCATGTTAATTTCGACAAAATTATTTCTTGGGTCTCACTAATTAATCAAATAATCTTTTGTAGTGTTAGTAGGTCAGTTGTGTCTTACTTTTATTTTATTTTATGACTCAGACTTTTTTTTTCTTTTTTTGTGAATGATAAGCAGTAACTAGGGCAACAATCGTTGGAATGTAAAGAAAAAGTTTACAAGTTTATAGATATAAGTGAAAATAGCTACACCCTCCATTTCAAAATGTAAGCCTTTTTAGTCTCTACACGTAAATTAAAGAGACAATCATTTAATAATTAATTTGTGTGTTAAATGTTTATTTTGCACTTCATTAATTGTTTTGGAACTATAATCAAAACTAGATGAAAAGTAGTTAGTATCATTTATTGGGGGCAAAATTCAGAAATTAATTCTTAATTTACCTTGAAATCTTAAAACGACTTATTTTGAAATATTGCCCCAAACCTAAAACGACCTACATTTTGAAATGGAGGGATTAAACGCAAGCGTACTTCTTTTTGTTTTTTACTTAACATTTAGCACATCTCAATTGGTTAAAAATGTAGTCGCACTTGTAACTTTTACAAAAACTAAAATTAACGTAATCTTGGAGAAATACACATAACACAATGAATTGAAATCAAGAGTGGCCTCAATTTCGGATCAATGGCTATAGCTGCTTTTCACTTTTTCCCTTTCAACTTAATTATTTGTCGCGTATAGGCGTGAAATGTGGCTGTGAATGAATAAGCCTATCTCAAATTTTATGTGGCTGTAATCAATGATGAAATTGATTGAAAGTCGAAACCCTAGCTATTGTAATCATGCTTTTTTTTTTCTCCCAACAAGAAACGGAAAAAAGAGGGAACAAAAAAGAAAAATGTCATGCACCATGAAATTCAGAAAGCAGTAGTAGTAGTAAGTCCGTCACGACAACGATAAACGCATAACCACGACCGTGTTGATCCATGTCTTTTGCCCGCACAACGTTAACTTCAAATTAAGTGATCACCCCAAAAATTTATAAACCTTTCTCGAAATTTGATTTCATACATTTATAATATTTTAATTTATAAACCTTTGTAAAGTCCCAAATATCAATAATGCATCACTCCGTATGTTGACACTTAACCAATTTTCAACCTACACAAAATTCTAGACTTGTCCGGGGGACGTATAATAACAGTTTGATTCTCAAACTAGATATAAATTACTTTAGCCCCTAAGATAATCATGCTAACTACACATCTTAATTCTTAATCAACTTGTTTATTCGAGTGACATCCGTATTCATAACCTCTAAATGCACATTCACAAATCATGCTCAAGGTCCATATTCAGTGACTACAGTATCTAGCTAATTATTACTTTCTCTTCGGTCCTAATTATATATAGCTAGGTACAAATTAATACTCTAAAATTTGTGTTAATTAATGGTTTACAAATACCAGAGGAAGGATGAATAACTAAAAGAAGAAAATGGAAAACACATGAAGAAACGAGGGAGAGAGGATGGGTGAAGAAGGATAAAATTAGATAGATAGATCAACTAGGGGTAAGCTGAGAATTCATGAGCTGTCCACGTACAACCCAATCTTACTATAAATATATAAATGCATGGGATCTGAAAGCCCCAGCCCCAAATCCTACGGCTCTCATGAAATGAAACTCATCCTCCTCCTCCTCCCTCATCATCATCAACTCTCTCAACTGTAAACATTTATTTCCACACCCTCCATTTATTGTTCCCAGGCCTCTTCTTTTAGGTAAAAAATAAAATAAAATAAAATTATAGTATATGCTAATCTAAAATAGTACTACTACTAGTAAACCATATGAATTATTTTAGTGGGTTCTTGAAGAAATTAATGATGATGAAACAAATGGTTAACTTCTTCTTTTTTTTTAAAAAAATAATAATAATAAAATAAAAGGATCATCATCTCTCGGGTACTCTGAAAATGTGTGTATATATATATAAGGATACACACAGAACAAGGCCAACTAAGGATAGCCACCTCAGGAAATTCATCTGCCCAAAACACAAGTTCATAGCTTTAGTTTTAGTGCTACTACTACTTACAAGGGCTTTTAAATTTCTGAAAGAGGGAATTCTTTTCGATTTGTTTTTCCCACACTTCAAGTTCCAATTCCACATTCTTTCCTTACAACCTTAAGATCATTTATACTATTATTATTAATATTATTATTATCAGTTTGACCATATATTATTATACTTGTAAATTGTCTGAGACTGATCAATCCAATTCCTTGGTCTGTGAATGGCGCATTTGGTTGGTTCTTCAGCTTTCATCATGATGATTCTCCCTTTACTTCTTCTATCCCTCTTCACTTTCGCTTCCTTTTCTCAAGGTTCATTCCTTCATCTCATCATTACCTATCTTTCCTTTTCATTAATTCCTCATTCATTCAGGAAAAAAAAAAAAACCATCATGGAATAATAATCATAATAAAACTCTAGAAGAGAATTGCACTATGAGTACATAGTAGATAACAAAATGAAAAATGTAAACTTTAATTAATCAATAAATTGCAACTTTTTTTTTTTTTTTTGGGGCAGGAAAGGTGACATGGGAGGAGACGTATCCATTTATTAAGCATGCAAGTACATTCGCATCGACGGCGCCGCCGTCGGCGTCGGCGAAGCCCGGTGGCAGCGGCGCCGCCGCGGGGAACTCCGGGGAGAGCAAGAACGACGACGTGCGGAGGTTCGACTACATTATCATTGGCGGGGGAACGGCGGGGTGCCCGCTGGCGACGACGCTGTCGGAGAAGAACTACAGCGTGCTGTTGCTGGAGAGGGGAGGGGTGCCGTTCACCAACGTGAATGTGTCGTTCATGCAGAACTTCCACATCAGCTTGGCCGACATCTCGCCGACGTCGGCGTCCCAGATGTTCATCTCCACCGACGGCGTATTTAATTCCCGGGCCAGAGTCCTCGGCGGCGGCACTTGTATCAATGCCGGTTTTTACACCCGGGCTAGCCCAAGGTACGTAGTACTCTATGCATTAGTTTTAGACCAACGTACTTATCTATCTACTTCGTTTTGTCTTCTTGTCCTTTTTTCCATTTTTTGTGTTTTTGTTTTTTTTTTAATAATTTTTTTGGTTAAAAAAAATTACCACTTCCGTCACAAAATTATTGTCCAGTTTTAATTTCAATTTTAGGACAAATTGAACTAAAAAAAATTCTAAACTGGACAATAATTTTGAGACGAAAGGAGTATATACCTTTTATAGATAAATAAAGGATTTTGAAAAAATCTTGAATTTTTACAAAGTAGCGGGAAAAAGAAAAATTCTTATTGGTCCATACTCTATACTAGTAGTAAAAATGGCCATCTTGGTTGAATTGATGAGGTCTTCCAACTTCACCCATATGTGTGCATTGATTGATTCTATGAGTAACCAGTAACCACCACCAACTTAATGCATTCTCTAATCTCATATTTTTATCCAATCTACTAGTTTTTCTTCTTCTTCTTCTTCTTCTTCTTCTTTTTTTTTTTTTTTTCCTTTGAAGATCAATGGTGTTTTTACCACGAAATGATCGTACTTCGTCAAAATTTTCTCACATTTTTAAAATAAGATTAATTTTTTTTACATATATATATATTAATATGACACGACTGATACATAAAAGTTGGAGCAGACGATCTCTGCTCCATTTGTTGACCTAACAAAGAAGAAAGGAAAAAGAAAGAGGAAGCTTCTTGTGTGGGTGTTTTTTGCTTCCTTTGAACTAGAAAAGAGTAAGCGATTCACGGTAAAGTGTTGGTTAGTAAAAGAAGGAGAAGAAGGGCAAGTGATAATAGTTGTAGATTTTGGTCCCCTTTTTCTGAGCTAGTGATAGTGGAGAGCCATTAAATTATCCTCCTGTTTTGTCACAGTTTTATTAAAAACAATTACACCAGATCCATCTACCGCACCACAACTGCTATTAACGAGGTAGCAGTAATACTACTATGAATTCCGTCTTATGTTTTCGTTACCCCTATAAGTAAAGAAAAAATAAAAAAAAAAAACCCTTGAATTTTTTGGTTGTCAGCTTTTGAATGATATATATACATATATATACACTATAAGTAAAGAAAAAATTAAAAAAAAAAAACCCTTGAATTTTTTGGTTGTCAGCTTTTGAATGATTGTATATATATATATATATATATATATATATATATCATATATGCCTTAAAAAGGTTAATTTGAGGACTTTGTTGTCACATTTTACAAAAAGTTATTAGTTGTAAACTCCCAAAACATCTTCAATATTTCCAACTGTTTTGACAACTGTGTTGATTTGTTACAAATGAGAAAATGCAGTAGTAGTAGTAATACTTCTTTACTAGTACGTATTCTGGCTGTGAGTTGTTCTTGCACATTATAACTATGAGTTTGGTTCTAGAAAGAAAGTTGACATTAAAGGGGGGTTCACTATCACTCACCAAATTCATGAAATGTCATTTTTTTTACGTGATTCAGAACATTTATGGGTTTTCTGTATGTTCATTTAAAGTGCTTTGCTTTTGTATTAAATGCCAGAAAAATAAGAGGCCCTCCTCACTCTATATACTGTTTTCCTTTGTACTTCATTTTTATTATTTTTTTTCATTTCCCATTTATTAGTATTAGGATTCGTTTTGATCAATAACTGCATCCGTCCCAAAATTATTGTCCAGTTTGAGATTTCACTTTTAGTATAAGTTGAACTAGAAATGAAACTTCAAACTGGACAATAATTATAGGACGGAAGGAGTATATCGGTTGTTTTACCTCTGAAACGTCTTTATGATTTAGGTCCAATCTTTGATGCATGCTGAAATTAATCTCTATAGAAGCATTTTCCTACAGGAATAGTGTCACTCTTATTAAACTTTAGCAATGTGAGTACTTCATCATGGTCCAACAGTTGATTAACTATTTAAGATAATATGTCAATATCACAACTCACATTAATTAAGGAACCTTGATGTGATGCTTTAATTATACAAATGTTGTTAGTTCAATTCTTAAATTGTTGTTCATATAGTCAAATTCAGCAATGTATAACTTTCCTGATGTAACAAAAAATGTAACTAAAGATGAATTTAATAATGCAGTTACATCAGAGATGTTGGATGGGATGAGAAACTGGTGAATGAATCATACCCATGGGTTGAGAAGCAAATTGTACACAAGCCAGATCTTGCACCTTTGCAAAAAGCAGTTAGGGATGGACTCTTGGAAGTTGGTATTTCCCCTTTCAATGGCTTCACCTATGATCATGTCTATGGAACCAAGGTTGGTGGGACCATTTTCGACAGATTCGGCCGTCGCCACACGGCTGCCGAGCTGCTTCAATCAGCCAATCCTGAGAAGCTCAGTGTCTTGATCCATGCCACGGTTCAGAAGATTGTGTTCGACACCAGAGGTATACTAATATTTAACGTTGCTTGAAACTCCAATGTTATTCATCTTACAGAATAGGGAGCTAAAAGAGTAGAGTATGATCAATGATGATGTTTTTTATTGAAACAGGAAAAAGACCAAAAGCTGTTGGAGTGATATTCAAAGATGAGAATGGGAAAGAGCACAAAGCATACATTTCCAGGAGGAAGAACAGTGAAGTCATATTGTCAACTGGAGCCATTGGAACCCCTCAACTCCTGATTCTCAGTGGGATTGGACCTAAAGATGAGCTCCAGAAATTTAACATCTCAACTGTGCTCAGGAATGAGTTTGTAGGAAAAGGGATGGTTGACAATCCCTTAAACACAATCTTCATTCCCCTGAATGGACCTATCGAACAATCGTTGATACAAACGGTTGGAATTACTAAGATGGGAGTGTATATTGAAGCTAGCAGTGGTTTTGGACAATCCAGGGACAGCATCCAATGCCATCACGGAATCCTTTCGGCCGAGGTTAGTATTATAAGATTCTCTGTTGTAGAAAAAAAAAACAACCTGAAACCTGAAGTAGCATCATTTGATTGTTTCTAATTATTATCTGTGAATTGAATTCTAGGCTGGACAGCTTTCTACAATTCCTCCAAAATCCAGAACACAAGAGGCTGTTGAGGCCTTCAGGAAAAGGAAAAGAGATCTTCCATATGAAGTATTCAGGGGAGGTTTCATCCTGGAAAAGATAGCTCGGCCTTTGTCATCAGGAGGAATCAGCCTGCTCAACACGAATGTTGATGACAATCCATCCATCACCTTCAACTACTTCAGCCATCCTTCTGATTTACAAAAATGCGTCAATGGGATTCGCATCATTGAGAAGATTGTCAACTCGAAGCCCTTCGCAAATTTTTCGCAGTGCGATAAAAACACGAGGGAGAAGCTCCTGAACATGAGTGTGCAGGCTAATGTCAACCTCATACCTAAGCACACTAATGATACCAAGTTCCTGGAACAGTTCTGTAAAGACACTGTGGTCACGATATGGCATTATCACGGAGGCTGCCATGTTGGGAAAGTAGTGGATCATGAGTATAAGGTGCTTGGAGTTGACGGGCTGCGTGTTGTTGATGGATCTGTATTTAATGATTCTCCAGGCACTAATCCTCAAGCCACTGTTATGATGATGGGCAGGTAAACATTTTAAAGACTTAAATCTTTTCTTTGGTGAAACACCTTGTTTTAGCCTTGAAATTTTAGAAGGGATTATGGATTATCGGCTTTTTGTGCAGATACATGGGATTGAAGATAATAAGAGACAGATCAAGAAAATCAGGGAGGGGATAAGACAAGACTCTAAAGAAGAAGATGATGTCACTATATCAGTGCAACTGCAACACATTCTTTAAATCCATGGAAAAAAAAAATGTAATTTTAGTGATTTTCGTATTATAGCAAGTTAGTCAGCTGCTAAAGATGCATTTGAGAGAATGGAAATGATTTCTTTTCCATCTTTTTATTCTTTGTATTTATTCATCTGAAGAACTTGTATCCACTGGCCCTGATGTATTTAGTGTTTGTATCCCTCTATCAAACTAGTTCTTTATTGTTTGATTTATGTTGTCTGATCTCGTGTACTTTGCTAATTGTTTAGTTCTTTCCAGTCTGAGGGCTTCTTATAAAAAAAAATTTCACTATGTCTTCTTGTAGCTTAATTATTTCGAATAATCGCGTCATTTATTCATCAGAGATAGTACTAATGATTTCACAGATTTTTTATTGCCTTTCTCCCCCAGTTACTGATGCAGAAAAAATCAATGTTTCTGTTGTTTGGTGTTGTTGTTGAGCATTAGTCTTTATTTTCACTGGAAAGAGAGCAAAACTGAACTGATACAGAGGTCTAAAGTCTTTGTACATAGGTGATGGGTCAAAATCTTGTAGGATACACGGATTTCTACAAATATGTTCTAGTTAAACAGAAGTTTCATTTGGAAAGAAAAAGTTTAGTTGCAAAGGATTGGGAAGTTGAAGAACCTATAATAATACATTACATTAATGTGAATCCACGCTCACTCATGCTGCCTCTTGAAAACCCTCTTAAACGTTCCCAGAAATGCTTTTTCCGTCCCCTCTTCAAAGGAGCAGAATTAAACTGTCTCCTGAAAGAATCTGATTCGAGCCCTCCATATGCCTCAGGTGGAAGATTTGAAGTTGACAATCTTATTTTATCATCAAATCCTTGATGATGCATTGTGTAACTGGCTGTTGAGACTTCCCCTACATCATAATCATGATCCTGATCATCAACCCAAATTTGGCTATTCTTACTGATGGAAAACTCATCATGGCTGTAGCTTCCCGACATTAGGTCTTTTGTTTCCTCAAACTCGTTGCAAACTAACTTTAAAGCCTGGACTACTTCTCCCATGAATGGACGATGCGACACTTCAGGTTGCACGCACATAGATGCAATTGCCGCGAACTTGACCACGCTGTCGAATGTAATGTTTGATTTTATTGCAGGGTCTATGATTGTTTCCAAGCCTTCATTTGTTGTGAGAAGCGGACGAGCCCAGGCAACCAGATTTTCTTGACCTGGTGGTTGCGATAGATCTACTGGTTTCCGCCCTGTAAGGAGCTCAAGGAGCACCACTCCATAGCTATAAACATCACTTTTCACTAGTAAATGGCCAGTCATTGCATACTCAGGCGCAAGATAACTGAAATAACAGCAAAAAGAAGTTTATCAGCTGACACCATCAAGAAATGAAAGGAGTTGCAGAGGTTCTATAAGCATCGATACGAAGCATACCCGAAAGTTCCCATGACGTGAGTGGAAATATGCTTGTTTTGCTCATCCAGCGCTGCTCTGGCTAATCCAAAGTCTGACACTTTAGGTGTGAAATCATACTCTAACAAGATGTTACTTGATTTGAAGTCCCTGTGTATTACTCGGGGACTGGAATCCTCATGCAAATAAGACAACCCACGGGCTGCACCGAGAGCAATCTTCACCCGAGCACACCAATCAAGAGGAGCAACTTCTTTATCAGCTCCTGAGAACACAAAATAATATGATACAAAAAGCAATGTCTGAGACATGTTTATACAAAACAAAGCGAATTTGCAAAAATTTGTTGAGTGATTTATATACCATGTAAATGGGATTCCACACTTCCATTAGGCACCAGTTCATACACTAAGCATCTACAATGTGGTTCATTGCAGAGACCTAGCAATTTGACCAAGTTTCTATGGTGTAGTCTATTAAGCATCTCAACTTCAGCTAAAAACTCGCGGCTTCCCTGGCGATCATCTCGCTTCAAGATCTTCACTGCAACCTTCCTTCCATCATCAAGAATGCCACTGTATACAACGCCAAAACCACCTTCACCTATAATTCTTGAAGAATCAAAGTTTTCAGTGGCTCGCTCTATGTCGGTGATACTAAATATCTTGGCTGTTCCAGTGTATGGCAAGATGCTAGAACTAAGTGAAACTGAAGCTGAGGAGGGATGGCTTTCAAGTGTCAAGGATCTAGCACCACCTGCCACAATATTAACAGATCCATGTTATATACACACTTGTTAAAACCTTAGTCAATAAACAGTTTAGAAGAAACTTCAGATCATATCTGAATCAAATTTAAACTAAGGCATGGATACTGATAGATGAACCAATGTTGATTGTTTTAATATGAGATTTTAAACCCTTGTGGATCATATAACATGAATTATTGAGATCATCCAAAATATATATATATATATATATATATATTATTTAAAACAAACAATTAATAAAGAGGCACAAAGTCAACCGGTGAATTGTGAAGCATTGTTTAAAGAATTTTGAAAAAAAAAAAAATGTCATCGACTTAGTCATTGAGAACTATAACTCGACGACAATGTCGACGGCGTCCATCATTGTGTTAAAACAAACTCCAGCAATAAAAATTTCAACTAAATACACACCTCTCACAGCAATCATACATTACATCAATCCTCCATTTTTCTAAAGAGGAAAGGTTTGAAACAATCATTCGCAAAGCATACCTGATGGTTGCCCGCGAGCTGATATCAGAGCAGGTGAATGTTGCTCATCAGGTTTGTGAATGCAGCATGCAAACTTGAACAAAAGAAGCCAGATAAATCCAATGGACACAACAGCAGTTGTGATTGATGACAGAACAATTACAATCACCATACTGGGGCCCAAACCATTTCTTTTTCTCCGAGGCACATTCACACCGATAGGCTTTATCATGTTCCCATCATTATTGATCCCTCCCTGATATGGTTTGCTATTAATCGTTGCTGTTTGTGAGGCGGTTAATGCAGGCGGAGAGGGAGGTAGACCTGAAAATGGAATGAATCGGTGAAGTTTGTTCCTTACCAAATTGTGGGTGCTAACAGTAACGAAGAGACTGAGCATAGATATTCAATAAGCACCTGGATAGCGTACATATACCACTTGGTACATGCCAAAAAGTGAAGTTTTAATGTGAACCTGCCTTTTCCAAAACTTCCTGTAAATGGAATTTGCAGTGGTGGCATCAAACTGGTCATCTAGAGGAACCAGATTCAATAGGACTACTGTTTTCTCTAATTGCTGGTTGGCTGCATTTGCTCCCATGATTCGCACTTGACTTCGATTCAAAGAAAGACTTGTAGAAAGTTCCTCCGCAAGCTCAGAAACCAAAGGGAAAAATGTGTATAGGGTAACACTTAATCTCAGACTGACTTGGATAGGCCAAACACAACCACAAGGTGATCCAGAAGGCCCATATGTCAGTGGTTCAGTGCATGATAACGAAGAGCAATCTGAAAATTCAGAATTCAAATCTATTTTTAGAGAACTGCAAGCGAAACTATATAATGCAGTTCAAGGGGAACACTGTAAATGCATACCTTGATTTGGAGGTGGAGGTGGCAATGTCATAACTTGAGATGGGTGTGGAGCCCTTGTCAACTTTTTGGGTACAAAATTAGATGGAGAAATTTTAGGTTCTGGTGCAGGGCCTGTTGATGTTTGCAGACAAAAAGTTAGCATGTAAATCAGCTACATAATCACTACTAGACAAAAGATGAATAACCACACAACAGAATAAGATTGAATCAATAGTCCCATACTTCGAAGTGGTAATTCTGGAACTGTTGATGATGGCGTGGGTGCTGGTGAGATTGAGTGCCACCTATCTAATAGGCAAAGAGAAAAACTCAGGTTCCTATATTGGACAATATATAAAAGAGCACTAGTAACTTGTTTGAGCTTTTCAATGCAAACTCTTTCAAGTTTTCAGGAGAAAAGAGGGAGGCCATTTTCTATTTAATCAACTCACTTTTCGGATGATGCAGATGATGTGCTCCAGGGGAGAGTTTATTATATCTGTTTTTTCTCCCATGATTGCCATTGAATGAAGGTGATGGTGAATCTGCAGAAGCATTTATTGGCTTCTTGAACGGGTGTCGTGAAGTGGTATCACTTAGGTACCTGTGTTCACTTTGGGCTGCAAAAATGACACAATATTCAGTACAAACATCATGTTTTACCTAGTTATTGCATTGAGGTTCTAACAAAATACTCCATTAAGAAAGAGCTGTCCTACCGACATGGCATCATTTCAAGCCTATAACATTCTAAACTAAAAATATTCATCAGCTCAAACTCGCGTGTATTATGCTTTCAGTAACAGAACTCTGCACTTTCAATCAATAATGCTGATGCTCACTCAAAATGTCATTTTCAATATTTATGGAGGAAATTATGCTAACATATAGAAACTGAACTAACTTGACATAAGCCACATGTATCAATGATGCTCATTAGAGATGAAACACATATCAAGATGGAAAGCCTTTACCATTCTGGAGCACTTTTAGATGTGATCTGATTGCTGTATAGAATTTGAGATCTTTGAATTGGAAAAGCTCTCCAGTTGCATGCATAGACGGTAGATTCAGACCTAAAAAAGCATTCAGTAATTTCAAATTAGAGTTAAATTACTTAATAATTTGACTCTGAAACTCTTTGTAAAGAAATGCAGAAGCTAGCATTCAACAATGGTGGAGTTTTCCTGAATCACCAGACTTAGAACTTGACGAAGCTGATATCAAACTTAATTCAAGAAAAATAATTCCCTTTAACCTCACATTGATATCATTATTAAAGCAACAGCTGCAAAGTACGTTCTTCAATTCTGCTATGATCACACCAAATTCGACCGTGTCCATAATCATAAGTACTATTCAAATTTCAACCCCAAGTGAAGAACAGAACAGGCATGAGACTACTTACCTGCAGATGTTTGGACTCGAAAGGAACAGAGAACAAAGATAATATCCAACAACAGGAAAGCCAAAGGCATCCCCATTTCCCTTGAAAGGTAGACAAAGATCACTCATCAAGATCGTTCTTTTCTTTTCAACAGGGAAACAATAACCCCTTTAAAACTCTGGAAAAACTATATGAGCTAGGAGCTAATTGAGGTACCAGAAATGGGGAGGTGCAATAATTCTGGACTGTACTTTGAAGACCCACAAAAAGAATTGAGTTAAAAAGTAATGAGGTAATGAAGACATCAAAACAGTGTTAGGTAGAAATGGTATGAATCCCTCCCATAACTAGCTGTTTCTAAAAGCTTTAGCTCTGCAAGATTTTTCATCTTTTCATTATGGTAAAGGAACAGTACAACCAGACTAAACCAGAAACAATGGGTAGGCAAAATACAACTGATCACCAACCCAAATAAGCACAACATTAAACACAATCTAACTAGCAGAGAAGACTTGACTGTGCTTTTTACAACTTTAAAGGGCAATTCTAGTGGGGTTGAAACACAACAAAAGAAGGAAAAGTTCAAAGCAAAATACAAAAAAAAAAGGATGATGGATGGTTTTCTTTAAGAAAACTTTGTATAATTTACTCAGTTCAGATACTTAAAAATCTTGAAGTAAATTAAGTAGAGATGCAAAATACATCCAAAAAGAAGACAAGTACGGAGCCAAAAAAAAAAAAAAAAAACTCAAAAAGGGCTTATGGTTCTTCAGTAAAATACTAAAGAGTTGAAAGCTCATAAATTCCTCAAAGCTAATTTGGTCTTTTTCAATAAATCCCACTTAGCAATGATTACATAAGAGTCCATTAAAGCAATTGTCAATGAAGATTACAGTCTACAGACACTACAATCGTTCGTGCTTCATCAACTTAAGAAAGTGGTCCAAGTAAGACACTATTAATACAAGTTGATAAGTCTGGTTACAAGACAATGCCTTTTTGCATTAAGTTGTGGGCAAATCACACAATGCCACCCCTGCTTGAAATTTGAACCCATTATCTAAATGGGATTAAAAGGCCACTTAGAACGATCATATATGCCTGAGAAAAAGATTATCTGCTGATTTCACTAAAACTTTCAGTAGTCTATGGAGTGATCATAATTCATATAGACAAGTTCTTTGCCAAATGCCAAAAAAGGCACCCCAACAACTTTGACCGGCAAAAAGAACAGCATTAGTTTGGAATAATAATAACATACAGTATTAAATTTGTATCATGGTACAAAGTTACCAACTCTCTTTTTTATTCGACCTTTAGAAAGAAAATTACATTATAGCTAGAATAAGGTCTCAAAACTAGCAGTTTCTCAAACCAATGGACTTCACTGCAGGGCATTAAGCTGGCTGTTTTTCTTGGGTTCAGATTAGTCATTCAGTTAAATATGATTCGAAGCATGGAATAGTTGGTAAAATGACATATAAGATAACCCAATGTACAACGCAATTGTACCTAATGAGGATTTGAAAAAAACCAATTAACATTATTGTATGTATAATTTTTCTATAATTAAGGGGCCGGTTTGGTATGAAATCTTTGACAAGAAAGAAAAATGCAAAAGACACAAGATCCAAGTGGGGTGTGGGTTGAAATGGAGAAATCAAAATGAGGGGTTATTATAACTCAATGAATGTTGAATTTTTAGAACTTGGTGTAGATTATGGGAGTGTCCCCACCTCCCACTCTTTGGAGGGAATGGGTTGGTGGTTGATTTATGATTTATATTGGGATATTTTGATATACGACCACATGATGTTTACACATTCCACTTCAATATATATTTTTTTTTTCTCATCCTGCTGTTTCTTTTCCTACGTATAATTAGGGAACAAATTATTCATTAATGAACTTACTCCTAATACATTTATCGGCTGACTTAATGTCAAGGTTCATTCTAAACGTGCAAACCCAACCATTTTTGTTACAACAATTTAACTATAAATCATGTCATAAAATAATGTCTAGTTAAACTTTTCACGCATCATTATATGAAATATTCATAAAAGAGAAGAAGTCCTTTGAATATTTATTATAGTTTATATAATGATAACGTAACATTATAATTTTTTTATTTTTTTAAGTGACCGTTCTTTAAACGAGTAAAACGTGACAAGTCACATGAATAGAATCTATTTTCTAAAAACTTTTGGATTACAATATGATTTTCACGTAGACGTCACGTAGTGGTGCTACCAATTGACGGGCTTACTTCTATATAAGATTTTTTTGATGAAGCAGTGAAGTTTCATTGATTTGGACTTTGGTGAAATGGGTACCCAGTTACTTATTGTGTACCCACAATGGGCATATTTCAGTCCAATACTAGGACTGGGGAGGCTCACCACATCTTTCTCTTGTCGGCCCACTCAACACAATACATCATTCCTCTTCATTGTTGTTTTTGCGAATTCTTGTTTTGATGCTTAAATGTGACCAACTTTTAGTCCCTAGAGGTTTGGTAGTCAATAGACTATGATATGATGTAAAATATGGTTCACTTTGTAAGTTTTTAAGAGTTTCGCTTCTTAAATATAACAACAGCAACAAGTATTTTTCCCACTAGTTGGATCAATATATGAATCATATTGTAAAATAGTAGAATGAACTGAAATTTTAAAATTAGATGGAAAGAATAATTGTTATTAGTGCATCAAAGATAACACCTGATCTTTAGGCAAATTGGGTTCCATACAATTTTCTACAATATAATTTATATGTGGAGTCATGAAAGAAATGACTAATGCAAAGATGTCAAGTTTCTAAGAAGATATTTTATATCTTTTTTTATTTTAAAATGATTGTTCAGTTTGAAATTTCATTTTTAATACAAATCATACAATTGAATATATTTTCACGAACAGGTTTTACTGTAATGGGAAAAAATGAAGCATCGAGTTGTAGTTTCATGTAAACGTTTACCGGTTCAATCGGAGTTTGGACTAGGTGGAATTAGATTGTATTAGGATGATCTTCCTTACACATCCTTCTTAGGGATAGGAATTACAAGTTTTCATGAACTATTAGACTAGTTTTTACACTTATAATTACATTGAGGTAAGAAGTAAATTTATTTTTTGCTCCCTCACTCCGGTAACTCTAATCTCTGTTCTCTCTCTATATACTAGTGATTTCTGGTCGCGCAATGCGCGACCCTGGCACAATATATCTGTATATCTTAGAGATGTTTGTATCCGGAAAAAAAATTTTTTGTCTTTGGTAAGATATATATTTTAGAAATGTTTGAAGAATTTAGAAATTTTTTATAAGTATGATCATAGAAATGTTTGTATTTGGTATAAAAAGAAATTTATTTGGCATGGTACGTTTTAGAAATGTTTGAAGATTGTACAAATGTTTTATAAGTGTTACTTCTAAATATAAATAAACTTGATCAAATATATGTCTTAAAGTAAATGCTAGACAAAATATAAAAGTATCCTAATAAGTTTAAATATTAGTAAGATGATTTATTGATGTTCTCCATTGGTTGTGCCATATCAATACTTAGTTTTGGAGATTTATAATAGTTTTGTAGCAAACTTCCTCCAAACGGTATACGCTTAATTGTTAGAACTATTTCTTCCAAAAGTTTATAGGTAGTAAAATATTAAAAATATGATTTTGAAACTGGTTAATTGTTGAAACTGGTTGATCATAAATATGAGAATAAAAATAATATAAATTTGCATAGGTTTCAAGGTATAGCAAAAAAGAACTCACCTCACTATGGCAAATAAAAAAAAAAGAAAGTAAAAGATAGTCCAATAAAAATTGAGAAATTTATTTTTTTCTGTAGGTAAAAATGATGTATAAAAACACAAATAAACGTAGAAACATCATTCCTTCCCTCTCCACTTCAATTTCATAAAAGGCTTCCCCATAAATTAATTAGAAGAAGTGACCTAAACTATTTATATGATGAGGAAATAAAAAAAGTCCAAAAATCAAATCCAAAAAAGTATATTATTGAAAGCCCCAAAACAAAAAAAAATAACGCGCTTCATTTGCAAATAAAATAAAATAATAATAATAATAATTGGTCAACTGGAAGTATGAAACAAAATCAAAAGCAATTAACAAAAAAAAAACACACTTCATAACTGATCATATACGAAAAAAAATTGAGACTCCATAATTAAAAAAAATAAAGCACTCTAATTGAATGAAACATAAAAAAAAAATTTTAAAAACTACACTTTGTAACAAAAACCCAATTAATCAATTCAATCCAAACAGAACTAAAATCATACAAAAATTTTAGGCTAACTAACCAATGAGAAATCATATCATATTGCCTGACAACGACTACGGTAGCTGTAATGGATGGACGCGTAAAAATAATAGTAATAACACTATTTTTGAACGGGAAAAAGAAAAAATAATAAAAGTCAAACAAATAATCTGTGAAAATAAAATCATTTAAATTTTAATACCTGTAATAGCACCACCACAACGGCTGAAGCAAGATCAATGAGAATTATTTTTTTTTCCTTTGTGTTTATATGGAGAGGTAAAGAGAATTTTTTTTAAGTCCAAATTTTATCCGATTAGGATGTAGTTGATCATCACTAATGAAAAGATTGAATATGCTAATAGGAAAGGAGTATATTTCACCACATATTCTCAATTGATAATTATGAGGAATTTATTTATTTTTAATTGTGGAGAAGAGATTGATTAAGAAGTCGATTGTCGTGGAGATGGGAATGAGGATTTGGATTTTTTTATGAACTTGTGGTTTTTTTTTTTTTTTAAATTTTGACCAAAATAGGAGGTAGGGGTGGATTTGGACTGCATTTGCCTTTTAAATCTAGGAGATGTGTAAATAAAAATATGATGTGGAAATACCACATGGAATGGTGATGCTTTCTCTCAAGTGTGGTTTTTGTTTCTAATATAGTAAGATATAGCGGTAACTATGATTTGTCTTGTCAATTAAAATAGAAAACCAAGTAACGGAACACAGCATAAGATGTGCATCATATAGGACCCTATCCTGGCAGAAAAAAAAAAAAATTACTTTAACCCAAAAAAAGGAGTAAATTTGTATGATATTGGATTCTATCCTAACTATTTTTTATCTAATATTAGCAGTAGTAGTAGTTGTTGGTGGTCAATCTTGATCTATTCGGGCTGGTCCAACTTGCCAACGGATTTGGGCTCCCCTTACAAGCCCAAGTCACTTATTTAATTTCTTTTGGCCCAACTGGGTCACAAGGGATTAGCGCGGGTGTATTTACTCTTTTGCCCCTTCTGACACAGGGGTCCACATGTATTGTCTCATTGGGGACCTATAAATACACCTTGTTCATTTATTGCTGATTCAATTCCATACTCCCGTTTCTCTCTCTAAGTGTGATAATTATTTACTTCTCTCCCTATAATTGACTTGACCTTCAGAGTGCTAACCTCCGTTTTGTAGGTTCCTGTCTAGGTCGTACTATTGTCTCCGTCTCCGGGATTAACCCTCGACAAGTGGCGCCGTCTGTGGGAATCTCTCTTTCCCGGTTGGTCGAGGGCAAATCCAGTTATTTTACGAGCAATGGTCTCCACCTGGACAAGACCCGATGAGGGGACAAGTCGCAGGCCTGGATTGAGATCGAAGGTGGTAGGAGGAAGCTCTCGCGTATCCGCCCGGTCCCGCGGAGAACGCCGAGACAAGGAAGATG